TTGTATAACTTGTAAAGACGCCATATTACTGTACGCTCTAATCTACGCCCTCTCAATTTGAGTGTTAACTTTCTTTCTTCACCTTGACAGCAAATCTTAAGAAGTTATCTGCCATCTGGGGATTCTTGCAGTCCAACCAGGTTCTCCCTGTTTTGCTGGCCATCTGCAAAGATTACACACTGACAAACAGACTGTGCCCCCACTGAAATGTTGAGCACTCACAGAGGTGGCCTGCAGTATTGCGTACCAGGATCTGCTTACGGATGACGCCCTCTGTTGGATTCTCCGGCTCACAGCAGCACAGCAGACTGCATGCGACGTGACGCACTGTGAGGGATGGTGAGAACGTTCGACTGTGGCCAGACTCATGTAAATAAATACTGCAATTAGAAGTGTACCTTTAGCTTTCTGATTTGTGCTTATAGTGCTGCCCACGTTCTTAGTAACTGCCCAGTTCCACAGCTGGATGGCACACTCCTCAACCTATAATATGAGTAAGATTATTAAATATGCATGCAACTCACATATTCTGCCAAGCTATAGCCATCTAAAAGTGACATAATGTTATTTTAGAAAAAATTAACTTTGACTACACTTTACAACTTAGTTCCAGAGGTAATTTAAAGGTCAGACTGATGACTTACATTAACTATAAAAAGGCTTGTTGTTATTGCATATGGAAGATCCTGGATTGCAAGAGTGACATTTTAGATTTGACTGTTTGCTTATTTTTATATTATATCTATATGTATTAGTTGTTTATTGTTGCTTTGATTTTTTTTGTAATTTACTATTACAGTCAAATTATAACTCTTACAAACTTGTGTCTACCTGTGGATCTGGTATTTTGGGGAAACCCTCCAGACCAGAGACCTCGGAGAAGAGTTTCTCTATCACCTCCTCATAATCTGTCGGCTGTTTGTGCAGCAGATTATCAATGAGACCTGTGGAGGAACAAAAGAAAATCAAGACATGTTGACAGGACGCAAACTCAACAGTTTTCTTGAGAAAGGTCAAATGTTTCCCTAAAAATAGTTAGTGCTGTGATGGCTAATTACACTTCTAAAGTGTGTCTTTTGGCAATTTGAAAAATAATTTTGTTGTAGCTTTCTGTTGACGAAATGACAAAGATAATCTGTAAATGTGGACCGTTGATTGTTCAATTATTAACTCTAGTTATTCAGCCTAAAACCACAAGTGCATCACAAGTTTTCAATCCAGTATTCAAGGATCTGAAATAAAGAAAAATGAACTCTTCAAAAGTTCAGAAGCAGTAACCAGTAACGTTAACTAAATGTGTGGTATTTTAACGTAAGAAAAAAACATTAATATAAACAACTGTATATCAAAATTCCCATTGATCACCCATTGTTTTCTCCCATAGACTATTATAAGGTGATTTGATTGAGTCACAAGTGGGTCAATAAAGCATAATTCTGAATATTTAGGTAACTTAGGTTAAGTTAAAGTTAACAGTATCAAAAAGGCTTGTTAGTTTACCATATTAATGTACCACATACTGTGTATATTGCTGTATTTCAATTTAAAATCCCCTTTCATTACTGTTCACGTTAGCGAAGTGAAGGCATAATAAGACGATGTAGAGGTGGCGTTAGCATAAACACACAAGCTAGCTAGTTAGCCTAGCCAACGGTTACTGACCAACTGCCCAGATAAGATGGAAGTCAGCGGAAGTGACAAATAACGCTGTAGCGTTTCGACCAGCTGAAAGGGTTAGTTACTCACATTTCACCGTCGAAACAAACCGCTCCATGTCGGAGGTTTCACCACTTGTAAATTAATTATTATCAGGCTAATGTTGGCGCCTTTTGTTTTGATTGACAGCTGTCACAAATGCCGCGAAGTTTGTCCGGGAGGGGGAAGAGCCTGAAGGATAGTTTAACAAAATTAAAGTTCGTATTCGTGTGAACTCCAAGACTTTATCTGCAACTGGTAAATTCCACCTGCTTGCAACAGGGTACTGGAGATTATCTTAGAAATTGATATAATTCTGCATTAATGCATGACAAAAAATATCCTCAGTTGCTGCTGTTATTTATCATTATTCTGCAATTAAAGGCCCTTGGCTGGGGTTGATGGAGATTGTGTCTCCTATGTTCCCTAGCTCAATATCCTCTTAGTATGATACCTTAAGGAGACCTTTCAAAGGGTTTTATGTTCTCAACAATGCCCTTTTCCCTTGGTCAAATGTTCACTGTCTGTTTCCCAGGATCGACATGTGGAAATCACCCATCTACAGCTTATGGCATACTGATGTTATAGTCAAATTTGACAGAAAGAATTCTTAAATTGAACCGACAATAGAAATTTCACATAGGCCGGTTTGGCTTTGTAAACACAGCTGCAGCAAATAACCTTCATTTTGGGTGCACTACATTAATCTCAGTATTAGTTCTATTAGTTATAACTTTTCTTTTTCTTTTGTTATAACAAGTTGAAGAAAATAAATGATGCAGACATATCAACAATGAGATATTTTACTCTCTTCATAATACTCAAGTTTCTTCTCCAAAAAGTGGAGCTAGTCTCGCATACTAAATGCAGTGCCAAGCAAACAAAAACGTATTTGTTCATTTCTTGTTCAGCATCTCTGGCATAGTAATAATGCGTACTTAATGCATTTCACTGTCTTGCAGGTCTAGATTTGCAACATGTACCACATGTGCTCCACTACTTGAGGAAACCAATACCCTGTTTTTATTCAGCCATAACGGGCCCATTTAACGAAAGCAACCAGATAGTTTGGCCAACATGACGGAGACCTTTCCACTTTTAAAGGAATCACAGCAGGCATGAACATCTACTCTGTGAAGAGAGAGCTCTGTTATATTCAGTGGCACCTTAAACTTGACAGCTAATATGGTACATTTTCAAAATCTTTACTCTTTTATTGGATCCCATATGAATTTATGTATTTCTATTCCATATTACCTTTTTCCAAATTGTTGATATCATGTGTCATTTATAACCTAACAATGGAGATGTTGAACTTAAACTGCTTGAGAAGAATCTTTTATATCAGATAGTTGTATAATCTTTTGGAGAGAGCTCAGATCTTGCCTCATGGGCCACTTACTTGCATGATAAATTGTATGCATGATTGATTTCTGGATTATTTTTAGGTTTTCCAACTAGTGCAGTCCTCTGTCCAGGACCCTGGCTTAAAAAAAATCAACAATTCATAATATTGCTCTCATGAAAGAAATTGTTTTGTTGATATTGTAGCCTATCAATCTTATTTTTCCCCCCAACATTTACTCCATAAAATGACCTTGCTTCCAAGGCTGCAGTATGAGTGGGGTCTGGAGACTATGACATTGTTTCCACTCATCATCAGGGCCGGCAGTCAGACTCCCTCCACCCCTCTGCAGAAAAAAAACACTTTATTTCTGGTTCATTCACTGAAGAAGACTTTGCTGTTGGGGGCAAAAGGAAGAGTGCATGCTGTGTGTGTAGAACCAGTTAGCCCCCCATAGTGTGTTTTGAACACCAGATTCTAAAATAAAACACTTCAAACCAAACCCCTATTGCAACTTCCAGCAATTGTTCATCAGGAGACATATCTGCATGCCCTCTTGGCCGAGTGGGAATGTTTCCTTTACTGAAGACTTAAAATGTGAACACACACTAAGAAGATTGTTGTACAAGGACGTTTCTTGCAAACCTCACCTTTTATTTGTGCATTTAGTATGTTCTTCTTCAAAAGGTGTAAGCCTATAGCATATCATCTTTACTAATATGTCACCATTCAGACTTGAGAGCCCATGTCTTGTAGACATTTTCTAATACTATTTGAGAGTCCTGTGAATTGTATGCCATGTTAAGCTAATTCCCAAGTCTACAAAGTGAGAAAGGTGACTTTAAAGTTTCCTCACCACCAGATTGTTATAGTGAGTGTCCACTGTCACTAAAGTGAACAAAGTAGCGCAACGCACAACAATCCTGTGTATTGTCCCCTTTATTGGACACAGAAGAGAGGCAGCTTTTTGTGTGTGCTCGTTCGACCAAATACGGACATACTTTTTGATATCCTTGAGTTATTTTGTGCAAAAGCAAATGTTTGTCCCATGTTCTCATGTGGCTTTTCACTGTTTTCCTGCTACAGGAACGGAAGAGTGTGCTCATCACATTTCACTACTGGTGCTGTGCCTATAATCCCCTGCACTCAAGATCCAGTCCCCAAAATGGTGGCTGTTCAGCCGTGACGCTGGCGGAAAGGTGAGGGCAGGATGTTCTTATTTACAGTGCCTGCTACTGTGACCTACAGCAGCAGAGTAATTGTTGTGGTGATAAAAGAAAACAGTATGCAGCACATCCACACACTGCAGGGTATCTGCTGGACAAAAGAGGATTGTTTACATTGATATAAAAAGCAGTGTGTCCTGTTTCTGAAGTTAAAAATAAACGCAGCAAATATTTATTCTAAACACTTAGAACAGATCAATCTGATGTTGCAATGATTTCCCCTTAAGACAAGATTACTGCTGTTACCTTTAGCCTCGGTTGTTTTGTTTTTTTATCAAAGGCAGCTTTACACACAAAGGTCAGATAAAAAAGGTTTACTGATCTACTTCTACTAATTTAACTTCAAAGAGTCATTTAGAAACATATTCTGACCACAGATCAATATGGTGATATTAATCATGATTGAAACAATGCTGTGATAAACACATTTTTGGGTCATTTCAGTTCACTTTCGAGTGGAGTATTCAACTGAAAATAAATACAATTACAGTCAGTCATTTTCTATTGCATATTTCCATGTTTATTGGTGTTAGTATAACACCGCTGTACATTTGTAGGAGTTATGCATCAAGTTGGTCTAATTACCACAGATACTCATTATTTCTCATGAGGTTATCCTCTCCTCAGCAGCCTGAAGGAAGGAGTTTGTCCCCCCCAAAAGAGTGACGTTGCATCCTTCCTCTGTGTCTCCATAAAACGTGCCTCACGCATGGACTGTAAGTGTTGCACAGAGGCGAAAGGGAGGAGAAATTGACCAAGTCGCGCATGAAAAGCACTGAGCAGACTAATCTGTTTTAGGCTCCACCAGACCAGTTAGACGCTGACACACCACTCACTCAAACTTTTATTTTTCGCAAACCATTGAATTCATCTTACTTTTTTTTTGTGAGGGGTGGGGGGGTTTGAGAGCACCTGCCTCGAGGATACAGCGGTACATCCGTCTCCTCTTTGCCGGATCGGGAGTTGGACTAGCCCAGCTGCGCAGGAGAGCTCCCCTGCGAAACGCGCCATGGGATACGGGAGAACCACTGCCGCTTTGTGCATGTACACCTGAGGCTTTTGTGGATTAACAACACGTTGTTGTTTTTTTAGGAAAAAGAAGACTCTTTGATTTACTCGCTTTAAGAGACTTTGTTCAGTCACGCGGAATCATTAGCCTCCGCCAAGGACTCTTATCACTTTATTTCTAATTCCACGGTGTGGATTTCGACGAAGAGCTGCCAGGATGGTCTCGGCCGACTGTTTCAGATTGTTCGTTGTCATCTTGTGTTGTTCGTCACACACAAATGGTAAGAAGTCATTCATGCTTATACAGATCACTTATTTACGCGTAGTAGAGTTGTATGCATGGAAGAACAGAGATTTAACATCGCACTGTTAGATTTGTTTCAATGAATGGATGAAAGCATGATGTTTAACAGACATTTGACCCGATCAGCTGTCACTTATCAGAAGAGGTACAGAGAGTGGCTTTTTATTTATTAATTAATGATGATTAATGATCATCTTATTCTTTCTATCTTTGAGCTGCTACCAAGAGTTGAATTATTTGGCCGTTTTTTATTTGATCCTTACATTTGTGGAATATGTTTTAGTGTTTATGGATATTTCAGTATTTCATATTTCAGTAGAACATCCAATTTGAATATTTTAGGAAAATGATGTGTCAAGGCTGTCATTGGACCTGCAGTTCTCATTTAAGCCGCTAGAGACAGTCTTGTCCCGTTGTAATTGGGTGATTATTCATGTTAATACATGTGTTGACTGACAGGTAATTCTAACAGACGAGTATTGGTGAAATTTGGATTTGTTTAATTTGGATTTTTTCTCATTTTGATATTGCAAATCAGCCCAGTGTTATATATTATTAAAAAATAAGTTTATCCAGCAATTGTTATCAATGAGTGAACAGGATTAAATATTTTTGGAAGAGAGAGTCTGTTTCTTCAGACAATATAATCAGCGTCATTGTCTGAGTGTCACTGTACAAAAACAAGATGGATAGATAAAAAGTGGATGTTCTTCCACCTTGTGCCAGGTCTAGTGAGATACACACGAAGCCTTCCTCACCATTCCCAAATAAACAGCCTATCGAAACAAAGGAAATACCCCCCACCCCCCCACACACACACACACGCACCCCTCCCTCACACACACACTACATGCTTTTAGCCTATGAAGCTTTGTCTACGATGTTTTCAAGTAGATTTCCTTCACTGTCCACACACAAAGCGTGGGAAAGACACAAGGAGGAAGCGGATGTAGGGGCAAGAGGCAGCCTGAAATTGTTCTGGCGAGTAAAGGTCACGGAAATGTGACACGCTACCTGAGCAAAGATTTCTTCCTGGAGCTCCTTGTGCTCATATTGAGCTCTGTCCAACTGCATCCACATGACAATGGCAGGGAGGACAGCAGGGTATTGTTCCTGCAGAGGAGACTGGTAGAGCCATTAGTCACTGATGGTGCGTCAACTTCTTTCTATTCATGCTGAGGTGTGTAACCGATGTATGTGTAAATAAACGATGAACTTATGCTTTACCACAAATATTTAGGATTCATGCTGCACCCTGTTGGTGTCATAATATTGAAGTTATTTATCATTCTACTGATACATTTGAACAGTTTTCTGTTTCTACATCTTCACTCAAGCAGAAAAGGTAAACTGTGTCTGAAAGATCGTCTGACCTATTTGGTATTTTGTTAATAATTCACTTGTAGCTGCTTCTTATTGAAAAGTGAGCACAGGTCAAGTGTGCTGCTTGGTGACCTTTTGACACCAATTTAAATGAAGCATCCCGGCTCAGAAGGAGAGAGGGAACCCTTTTGCAGCTCTTTGCAACACGACGCTTGCGTTTCAGATTTATTTCAGTTGTCCTGCGTAACGGTCAATGACTTTTGCATATCACTTGGGGTGTGATGCATGTATTATTGATTCAGTGAACTGTGTCTGCGAAGTTCATAGATTGCATGCTCTATCCAGGTAGTTAACTACAGTTATATAAATGGAAAAACAAGTGAAGCTTCGTGATGATTGGAAGAAATAGTGATTGAAGGGATGATTGAATGTGACCCTGGAAGCTGCCTTGCTATTTTATTGCCCTAAATATTATTCACTCATCGTGGTCGTAATTCTTCTCTATTAGTCTACACTATGCTGTATTAGTCAAACATCTGTTCTTCTCAGATGAGCACAGTGTTTGTTTGTTTTTCTGTCGTCTTCCAGAGTGAGTTGATATGTCAAATTAGTTTTGGAGTATTTTTTCTTTTCTTTCCTGCTCCGACACCTGAGATGGAGTGGAAAATGGGAGAGATGAGAGGTCAACCAAGTTCAGTGGGGGCTCATTGCTAACTGGTGGTACATCTGGGCCCGCACAGGCAGCACAAGAAAAACACATCCATACACTCACACACACACTCACACACACTCACCTGGATTGGGAGTTTTGCCAGCAGATCAGAAAAGGGCATTCCCTTACACGGGGATGTAACTTAACAAATTGCTTTGTGTAGCTGTTCTTATGTGATGATTGCAGCATCTGGTCCATAGTAGGCATATCCATCCTGAGCCAGCAATATGTTTTCTTCGAATCTTGCATGAGATTTCAATTTCAAGGAGCTTCTGTCTGCCAACTAGTCTTAATCATATGTTGTGGAACAGAAATCCTCTGGTTTTACCATTTTGATGTCTCATGCATGCGATTCCTGTTTGTTGGCACTACTCAACTTTATATAACCTAGAATGGCCACCCATCATGGCCAGATGTTCATTTATTTTGCTTTTTTAAGAGCAGTCTGGGGAATTTTTGCCTCCTAATCTCCAATGGCTAATATGCGGCTAATAAAAAAGGCACTCTGCCTAACTGTTGTCTTAACCTTGCAGTTGGCAAAGTGGACGGGAGAGAGAATACTTAGGACACACAGACCATGTAACACAGCCGGAGCAGCGGTAGCTACTACTTATTTTGGCAGGTGGTCTCAAGTCTTGTCAAGGTTTCATCTTTGTGAAATTTTTTGTTTGTCTTGAAAATCTCGACCTAAAGGCAACTTTCCATGAAACATCAGTGACACAAAACACCAACCAGGTCCTTATCAGGTGAAATAATAACTTTGAGAATTAAGAGAACAATTTTGTGTGTAGTATGCTGCATTGGTTTCCCATCACTATAATTATTAGAACATCAAAAGGCTAAACCGATCGCGTGCTATCCATTTACACTACAGGACAGGAAGTTCAGCCCAGTGGCCGTCGCAGATTATCAACTTTTTGCTACTGTTTCGCTCCTGTCGCCATGGCAGCATCACAGCCAAGATGACTCACCAAGAGTGACCCTGTACTCTTTTGTTAAGCTATAATTCCCTCTACACCCTTTTAATATATTTTGTTGTCACAGGAGTACAAGGAATGAATTGGCAAGGTTAAACAAGGAGGGAATCATCATGCCGTATTGTTACTTTTGCCTTGAACACACCAGAAAAAGATCGACTCTCAAGATAGTCGTGTTGTTTCATGATGGCGCAGGAAGCATGGGGAGATGAAGTGTATTCTGCAAAATAAAAGGGAAATCCACATATTATTCCCTGACTTGGGGTTTCCCGTCATATTCAGTGACATTACAGTCATCTCATAGGGTAATAGTGTTTTTTATTATGCAACACCAAGCATGATTTACTGGTGGCAGGCTGCAACAGCAAGGATGGTGACATCTTACCAACGGTTATGCCAGCTCATAATGGCCTTCTCGCATTTCATCTCAGCTTCTTCATTCTTATTCACATATTACTCAATTTGTTATATGCTCAACCTACAGTTCTGTAAAGTTGTTGTAAAATGCTAACTCTGTGCAGTTATTGGACTGAAGTATCAAAATAGTTAGCTGAAATCTTTCCAGAATTACTAGAAATGAATTCCAACAAGAAGTATACGAATAAAATAATTAGGACTGACCCCACTTAGTCAATTAGTCAGCTATTCAGTCATTTTAGTCTCAGTCGACTACACTTTCTTAAGTTGATTCAGCATTTTTAGTGCTTGTTCCTGCTGAATGACGTAGTTCCAGGAAACTTATGAGCACATCTCTAGTAAACACAATATTAAAAATGGTGCTTTTGCACAATTCTTTGTGAAGATACTAAATTTTACAGATCTATTGTGTAAATCAACAATAGATTAGTTTACAAAATGTAATTGACTAAGAATGTCTTTGGTCAAGGATAGCTCTAAATACAATAGCTGACAAGAGCACCTCACTGAGATTATGTTGCCAGAGCTGTGTAAAATATCTTGTCACCATTTAACATAATTTTACACAAAACTCATACTATTTTAATTATATATTTTGATATTTGATGGAAAATAAGCACAAAAGGGTAGTCTTGAACAATTTCAACTGCACTGCTGAACCTCTGGCTTACATTTGTTGAGAGTTTTTGTCATTGTCTGGCTGTTGTTTGAGACTAAATATTTAAACGGAATTTTCTATTCCGCAAACAGTGTAGAGTAGATCCTGGAATCCAACACTGTTTGAATTTTTTGTCGTAATTTTCTGTGAACCTTCCAAACACCGTGTCACGTGCCACTTCCCCTCATCAATGCCAAGTTAGGACAAGGACAGACCAATGTGATCCTGGTCTAGTATTAGTAAACTTGGCCCTGTGACAATAATCAGTTTGACGCTGTGTGGCTCAAGACCCCATCATCAGTTGAAACAGAACCAGAAGTCACAGCCTCCTTCTCTCTCTCTCCTTCATTTAGTTTGTTCCATGCCTGTCCTCTTCCTAATGGCTCTTAATGAGAACCAGCTTCGGGGCTCTTTGAACCAACACAGTAATCACAATTTCTGGCATTTTTCAGGCTCTCTGCTGGAGGAATGCGGCACACAGCTGTTACGGGGGGGTTAGGGGTGTCCGGGCGCTTGCTGAGGTCAGCTTTGGGCAGGCAGTGGGGCAGTTGGGAGTTTTGACGGTGTGGGTGTTGAGAGACAACTGCGGGACATTTCTTTTTTCTCTTTCAGTGGGTTGCTGGGGGCCCCTGCTGATTCATCCATCTGTAGTGTGTTACTGAGGAGAATAGGGAAACATGTTTTAAGAGATGAGCTTCATGTCCCCCCAACTCTAACCCTGCAATTCTAGGTCAGGTAGATGTTTTTTTGTTGTTGTTATTGGTGTTATGTGTTCAAGCAGATGCCAACATTCTTACATTGGTTGCTTTTGTATCACGACATCAGAAATCATTGTTGCAGACAGGACATGAGGTAGTGTGCTTTTTACTTTACCAATTGTATTTAACAGGCTCCCGGGGTCAAATTCAGTTTGATTAATCCATAATTTTGCAATGTTCTCATTTCCAGCAATTCATTCAAATATGACTCGCTGCCAATCTGCAGATGTGAGGTCATAAAACACAAACCAGAACATTCTCAAGGAAATGTGTGTGACCTTTCAGGAGAAATCAACAGATAGTTATTAACTTGTGATTTGTAAATTCTGGGATTGTTTATTTAGGTCAGGAAGCTTGATTTTTATTAATCTAATATACAGCTGAACAGCGCGTGGTATCACAGCATGAAAGACTATAAGCCACATCCCTTCCCCTCTGCATAACCTTGGACAATAAAACAATGATGTGCTAATATTTAGTGAGGAAGTCCATATTGAGTGCTACTGCCAACACTGGCACCGTCAGCTCATTCTTAGCACAACAGCTGTTCTGATTAATAGACAATGTTTGTGTTTTTCTGTATATGTGTTTGCATTTGTAAATGCAGGTGTACTTGTGTATGTGTGTGGTTTTTCTCTGTGTGTGTGCATACACATGTGTATCCATCATGTGTCAGCATGTCAGTAAGCTGTTGTGTAACTCCATTGTCTTTCTTGATTCTGGCTATAAATAGACGTTTCCCTGAAGACCGTAACATTTCGATATAATAAACCTGTTTTCTGACCACAATGACAAGCTGTTCAGGGAGCTCAGTGAAAAGAAGGAAATCACATATGTGACTGTGACACCTCCTGGAAAAGCAGTGAGAATCAGTGTTTCCAATGTTGATCACTGTTAAAGGGACCACTCAACAGTTACAGCTGGCTAGAGGCCACCTTTGATTCAAACATGTCGACCCCGGATTTTCCCCCGTGATAATGTAATACAGTAATAGCACTTTGAGTGCAGGGTCGAAAAAATGACTTGTTCCTAAAAGAGAGGAAGAGAGCACCCATTAAAGGAGGTTGAGCGGTGGATTTAGAGGTCTAACATGCTCCCAGTATCACCCCCCTCCATTCCACCTTCTTTCTTTCTTTCTGCTCATCCCAGACCACTATTCATTCTACTTGTCCTCCCAGCACCGGAAACACCCCCAGTGCTCTCACAGCAGCCCATCACTTGCATAAGAGGCAGGAGCATGTCGGCACAAAGTGAACCCACATGCACAGCGCTGAAGTGATTCATGGGGGATTTCCTACAATCTTTTTTTACTGTTTTGAGACAAACAACATTAATGAGATGCTGTAAATATGTAGGTTTGTAGGCCTTTGTCACTAATAGTGCTCTATGTGTGTGTGTGTTCAACAGGACATTTGGAGACGGAGCACTCGCCTAAGATTCTGCCCTCTGACAATCCCCTCATTCGACCTAAGGACGATTTATTGAACCTCACATGCAGGTATGCAACACACCGATTTGTGTCAATGCCAAGTGAACCAAAACGACAAATCAGTGTTCAATGTCATATTTAGCTAATATAGTGCATTGCTACAGATTAACCTACCCGAAGGTAAAATTGTAGTAGACAATAGACAATAGACCAGTAGACAATTGTAGTAGACCATCAGCAAGAAGATTAGCTTTTTCTATAAAGTTATTCTTAATACTGCTCATCGTGGCCACGAGATTGGATTCCGTGCGAAATTAGATGAAATCATGCAGGTCCACCAGAAACTCCTTCAGCTCAGACTCCAGCTGGGCATCCAGCAGCAACCAGACCCAGATCCGGCTTCAACCTGCAGTTAAAAGCTCTGGCGGGGGGGAGGAGAGCTCAGAGCCCGGCAGCATTGTCTGCTCCTCCAGCTAGAAGCAGAGCTTTGCCTCGCTGCTCCTCCGATCCCCACTGGGAGCAACACCAACACCATGCTGCAGGAGACCCAGGCCGTATTGCTGGGCCCACTGAAGGGAGGCACAGGAGAACCAGAACCAGAACTGTGCTGGGCAGACTGTCAGACCCTGCTGCACTAAAATGGGAGGTTTTCTAAAGGGACACCGGTGCTCGGAAACCACTTTTGTACACAGGGACCAGCAAAATCAACACACAATTAATGTTCCTTGTAGTAGCTTGAAGTACATTTTGTTTTTCACTCTCCGTTACGTAACATCTTCAATGAAGGACTTTTACTTGTATTTGTGGTATTTATACAATAGCCTAAAGGATCTGAATACTTATTCCACCACTGCATGTAGACTTTGATGAATATGTAAATACCTGATTGACAAAAGTAAGTATTTTGTCACGCAGGAAATCCTAAACATCCGTTTTTGCAATAATCAAAGAAGTTCATGACCCTAGTTTTTCTTGCCCTTTCTTGGTCAGTTATCAGAAGAGACGAGTCAGTGTCTGAACTGTCACTGCAGCCATAAAGTTTAGACTCTTGTCTCATTACATGACAGAAAGGCCAGGGGGAAAGTTAACGGCACATGCTTGGGCCTCAGGCCACTTGCTGGCTACAAAGATGCTGGGACAAGTGGTGGACCACATTTATCAGCCTGTTGCAATTTCCTTTTGGGATGGTGGGACCAAAGTGTGCTGCATTCACATTTGTTAAGAATTTTGAGAGCCTTGCATCATTTTGTAGGCCCCCAAGGAATGTTCAGGAACTCATATCTATCTAAAATAATGCTTCCCTATAAGGCCATATGCTAACATGCCTGGCCCATACCGTCTTGTTTTCTGTCACTGGACAAGAGCTGGAGGTTGCTTGACCCAAAATTCTGCAGGCAAAGGCAATGGTATGCAAGACATGTTTGATGTTCCTCTGGGATCTCTTTAATGAGAGTTTTAAAATGGAAAGAATGTGTTAGCTGAGCACATCACTCAGGAGAAGCATGTTCCCATGTGAAAGTTCAAGTAACTGGGTGACTCCAGATTAACTCAAAATAAACTTGAAAAGAACATCAAGTCAGAAAGTTCCAAGCGGAGAACAGCCGCTGCCTAAATGAAAAAGCTTGTGAGTTGCCAGCTATGACACTTCTCCTCGAAATGGATCCGAAATACAAGTTTTTGATTCAAGGCTTTGTTGCCAGAGAACAGATCCACTGTAATGTGATGCGTCGAAATTAGAAAGAAAAACAACATATTTGGTATGTAATATTGTTTTAAATGTTCTACACAAAGTAGCCTCGGTCATCAAACGGTAAGGAATATTTTCTCCGTATTCATCTAATATTGTCCGTCTGTCTTCTGTCAGAGGTTATGGCCTGCTGCACTGGACACTTGGTGATCCCAGTCGATCGATCTCATCAGAGGGGGTGAAGGTGGAGCCGTGTGATTCCAGACGTCACTCTCACTGCAGCAAACTGACAGTCGCAAGCTTAAGTGTCAATGACACAGGAAGTTACAGCTGTAACTACTCCAAGAACGGTTTTGAACACGTCACCTCGATCTACGTCTACGTCCCAGGTGAGGCCTGCAAAGCGCTCTCGCCAGTTCAGATTATCTGTGTTTTTTATCAAATGCAGTAAATGAACCAGTGGGAATAAGAGAATATAACAGAAACCTGTGCAGTCTCTGATAGATTTATGACACTGACATTTTCCCCTCCAGTCCAGAATGTGCGTTATTTTCTAGATTGAGAAAAATTGAATGTAATGTTTAGAAATACAAATAATTGTTCTATAAACTAAACCACAGCTAAGAGGGATTTCTTTTTTAATTGAGTTGTTTTTACTCCATCTAAGAATTAACTATTTGTTTTTGTAAAAAGTCAAGACTCCTGATGAAAGACAGGTTTTCACAGGGGGATTGTCATCTGCTGAAGCAAGAGGAGGGCTATGGAGTTGAACTGAGCCCACAAACAATGGCACATAATGGACAGAATACGATGGCTGATGAGCAATCTGATATTTCCCGCAAGATACGAGAGCTGGAAAACACCCATATTAGCAACCAAAAAATAATGCGTCAGCAAGAACAGAAAAGAAAGCAAAAGAAAAAAGTTGAAAAAGGGAAGAAAGTTTTAAAGAAAGAAGGAAATACAGAAAAAGACAAAAAATGTTGCAATTGTACACACTTTGCATGACTACAGTTATTCCTTACATTTAGGAAGCTGACTTTAATCTACAAGCATTCAGATTCTGGTGCCACAGTGCTCCTATTCAGAAAGAGAGAGAGAGACAGAGAGAGAGAGAGAGAGAGAGAGGAGGTGGTTTCTTTGCTACTATGGAGGTGGAAGGGTTAGCGTGATTGCACAGGAAGCCCTGGTCATTTCCGGTTCTAGCTGCTGTTCTCAGAAGTCTCCGCTAAAGTGTCACATGGCACCAGTTACAGTTACAAAATCATTGAAATGTGTTGGGCGGCATAAGGAGAGCAGATTTTGAGTGTCAAGTCAACATCAGCCCATTTTAGCTAGATGTGTGTGCTTTTTGACATTTAATATAATATATATAAAGATGAAATCATGAAATATTGGTCTAAGGGATGTGAAATAGTTGTAGACAATGGCTAAACTAAATGCTGGATGCACTTTGTTCCCTCTCTGTGAATGTGGTTCCCAGGCCGCCTGCTGTGCCTGTGTTTAGTCTAACGCTTTCTTTTCAAAGCCCTTCAGCCGTTTATTACATCATTTTTCATGCTTACTTTTCAAATAATGGTTCCTTTATCACACCACTACTGCTTGACCTCACACCAATTGCAGACTATTTGTGTAGTCATGAATTTCCCACATCGGCCGTGTGATGCCTGGCTGCCCAGTAGGAACAAACCACTAGCCTGATTGCTCTGTCTGTGCTCTGCTGCCTTATTCGGTTAGAATGAACTGATCTGGGATTTGATTTCTGTGTTGGATGCCCTGACATTGCTCTGATTCAATTACACAGCTAAACTCAGCTCTAGTGTAACAGTTTATTTCAGAACAACAGCTGTAAATTTGCTACAAAACATGGTTATCCCAAAAGACTAAATGTAAGTGTCCACATCTGCTTTGAAATGCGATTTCTGACTGACCTGTATTTTAGATCTCACTTATTTTGAGTTGTTTTTTTTTGTTGTTCTTCAGCTCCCGAGCAACCATTTGTGGAGCCCCATATATTTAAAATCTTGGGCATCTACAGGCATGAGACCAGCCTGGTGGTTCCCTGCCGGACATCCTCTCCTGATACTGTTGTTACACTCACAGGGGTAAGGTCTCTCGAAGACAAACACTTTACACCTTCTGCTTATGATTGTGCTGTATATAGTAATACACTGTATGTGCTCCAAAGACCTGGTTGCACATGGATTTAAAAAGTAAATCACACAGTACACCATCTCAGAAAGCCAGATTGCTATTAACACCACAGCAGGGCATCCTTATCGTATCCTTGTCGTCTTTGGCACTCTGTGCTTGAGGCATCTTGCTGGTTCTCACACCCTTTGTGTTGAGCATACAGAAACAGACCAGTGGCTTGTCTGGGTGAAGCTCACGGGCGGCGATGGGAGTCATTCTGTCTGCTTCCTGTAAGAGCAGGAAGGTGTTCCAAGAGTGTTTTTTCTCAGAATAGACCCTCAGACTAAATTTAGCCCCCCTTCTCTTACAAACATCAGGAAATCCAGGAGAAAAACAGTACACACTGTGTCCAGTTACAGGAAACAACAGGGAATCATGAGGATCATTTGATACCAGAGTGCAGCTAAAGATGTCAGTGGAGGAGAGCTCCCTCAGTGATATGGTTTGCACAAGGCTTTTTCTCTTTCTGTCAAACGTAAGAACCTGGTTGTGGTCACCAAAGGCAGCATGAAAAGCTACCATGCCTACTGCTGCCGTGGACAGTCACATCTGACTCAGATGGCACAGATAGTGGTTGTGAGACCTTCCTGCTGTTGGTGAATCTATGGCACTCCTCCTTTCTGCTCCCTTTCCTTCCTTCCTTCCCTTGCCTCCTCTCCCAGCCCAACTTCTGGCCTGAGAACAAACAGCAGCAGGCACGTACATCCTTTTTCTGAGTCAACGCTGTTTTGTGCTCCATTGCATAAAATGATTACAGAGGTTGCACTCCACAAAACAATAAAAACTAATTTGATATTCACTCTAACAGATGTCTGTCCCCAGCTGAGCCCAGCAGAGCACGAGTTACATGTTAAATGAAGTTGAGTGCATAACACTTCAGTCCGTCTGGCTCAGTGTTCTTTACGAACATCACGAATGTCACCAAATATCCACGGTACCGACAAACCTTCTCTGCTCTACTCTCTTGATTGCAGCAACCACCTTTATCAGAGAAGGTCACTAAGGAAATAGTCTGGGATCCGAAGGTTGGATTCAAGATTCCCTACCAACCCGATACTGAGTATAGCATGCTCACCTGTAAAACCACGGTCAACGGTCGTGAGTTCAAGTCAATGTACATCCCTATGAGAATGAGTGAGTCTGTTGTCTTTCTAGCCATCTTGCTCAGTTGAAAAATATAGATTAGTGTCGATTTCTCTGTTTCTCTGTCTTCTTATATTTGTCACCATTTTTACAGCTCATGTTCTTATGAATGTGAAGATCACCCCAAATAATGTCGCCAAAGTGTTGGTTGGAGACACCCTCATGCTCAACTGTACTGGTGAGACCACCTTTAATGGAAGAATCAACTTCACATGGGATTTTCCACAGAAGAAAGTAAGTTCAGGATTTACTTTTGATATAGTGCTGCTATATGTTAAACACACTGTCGCAGAATGTAGCAGTGGAGTTTATAGTTCCTCCTTTGTCCTCAGGAAAAGCATTACTATACCAAAAAGACGACGGACCCCCCTGCTAATGTTCTAGAGATGAGCAAGGCTTTAATTTTGCCAAACATTACCATGGAGGATCAGGGGAAGTACCACTGCAAGGCTGACCTTGAACCCACGGTACACAGCAATGTCTCAGTAACAGTCCTTGTCTATGGTGAGTATGCTTTGGATGGATTTAAAATCAGGTGACGATTTCCATGAGCTCCAAAGTTTATTACAAAGCATAAAAACACAACAAAATGATCAGACACATTTTAACTTCTAAATAAACCTCACTGTGGTGATTCTACAATGATATGATGGTAAAACTTTGCTTTTCGATGGATTCTAATGTCTGTCATTAATCTTTTGTTCCAGAGCATCCATACCTCTATGTCTCCTATAAGCCTGGTCGGCCTGGTAAGGTTACTGTTAGAGAAGGTAAAAAGAAGCTTGTGTTTGCCCCCAAGGTCGACGCTCTGCCACCAACAGACATGCCAGCATGGTAAGTAATGCTTTAAAGTCCCAATAAAAACTGCTGATTATGTATTGAGTGAGCGAACACCTTTATGAGTCAACTTTCCATTCACTTCTTTCATTGATTCTTGCTCTTTATCCATGGTTTAAAAACCTTTCAATGCCTCCAATGTTTAGGTATAAGGATGGGGTCCCTATCAAGAATAATTCCACCTGTTACAAGATGGCTGGTTACAACTTGATCATCTCTGATGTGCAGCAGAAGCATGCTGGGGCCTTCACCATAAGCCTGGGCAACCAAGTGAAGGGCGTGTACAGGAATCTGAGCTACACGCTGGTAGTCCACGGTAAGCTGTTGCCATAAACCTGATAATGACTGCTGATCCTAAGGAAATGAAGCAGTGCCTTGGCTGCCCCAGCACTGTAGCTGCTTTCAGTGCAGTTCACTGGACTGCAGGTAGCAACTCTAGTATGAGAGGAATTTGGGGGCTTGTTGATTCCAGGGCTGGATTGACATAGCAGGGGCAGCTGTTGTTGATTATTGGGGCTCTTTTGGGGGGCTTGGCGCAGTGTGTAAATGGCGTGGGCTCTATTCTGTACGCAGATTCCAGCCGCTCCAGACCCCCCCTAGTCTCCAGCATTTATTTGCATCCTCACCATGTGTATATACAGTGCAGCTCATATAAACATGTTCCAAACAATATGTATACAGCTTGAGGAAAACAAGGACTGAGCATGTAATTGATTGTTTTAACTGAATACTACTGATGACTGTTAACACTAGAGGTTATAAATGTTTTAGGGTATTAGGTTGAAACTTGGACAAAGTCTGCTTACTATAGAGAACAGAGAAGTGTGCGTCAGCTACTTCAAGCTTGTCATGGGGGGGCAACGCTATATTCATTGCGTTCTTTAAACACAGCAATCCCAATAGTGTGCCAAAAAGTGTAAAATCAGCTCCATGTGGTTTGTATACACTTTATTTATGATCCTTAACTGTCCTGCTTCACAAAACTTTGATTTATTGTAATGACAAACAAATAAAACACACAGCCACAACTAAACACAGTGAAGGGAGATTCCTGGTATCAATTATGGAACTATTTCATCAGTTGTTTAGGGCTGTCAGAGTGCTCCAGATTATGAATGTGTCCTACGTGATGGCGTGTGCAGGTTTTGTGGTTTGCCTAGCTATGTCGCTGTGTGTAGCCTGACAATCTAAGCTGTTCAAAATGGAGAGAATGGCTAGGTGATGTGGACCGGCACAAGGATCTCTGTCTGTTGTTGATGGTTGATACACTGATGGGCATGGGCCACTGTGGGGTCACTCTTGGACCTACAGTCCCGGGCTATCCAATCATTCTGCCATTCTTCTCCTACACGACGTCCAAAGGACAACTGGTGTGCACCTTTTTCATGGCTATCCATCATGACTGCCGGCCCTCATTATAAAGACATTATGAGATTCCACAGTGGGCTGGGATGGTGGCTGGTTGATCTAACCTGTTGTCGCTCTCTCTTTATCTCGCTCTCCCTGTGTTTTTGTGTTTGTGTCTGTGTTCTTATGTGTGTTTATGTGCACTCCTCTCTCACAGTGAAACCAACCATTTCAGAGGCAGAGCTTGCCACTGTGGACGTGCAGCCCTACATGTTTGGCAAACAGCATCAGCTAACCTGCACTGCTTATGGGATACCCTTACCAGACATCTTTTGGTTCTGGCAACCGTGTCACTCAGACCCTGCACTTGTAAAGTGAGTCACCATCTTGCTATATTCACAAAAACTGAAATGTTTAAACTAGATTTTCTGTAAACGTCGTCCAATTTTGAAGAATTTAAAATGCATCAAAGGGAAATCTGAATAACATAATCTGATTCAAAATGTGTTGGAGGACAAAAACTTATATTTTGTAAAAAACGTATTATTTGTATTCACAAAAAACAGCATCATAGACTTAACAGTACGTACTTGTAGGGCCCAGACCCACCAGACCAGCCCGGGGATCCCACTGTCAAACAGATCTACATTGACTAAATTGACACTGGCCCAGAATACGACACATTAATCAAAGAAACGGAGCCCTCGAGAGCTGCCCTCTCGTTTGTGGTCAGTGGCTTTGTAGGCTGAAGGGGAAAAATAGGGGAGATGTATTAATCTCAGATTCCCAGAGCTGTTACACACCCGAACAGAACTGAGTGTATGAGTGACTGTGCATGAATACCGGCCTGGTAGTGAACCCACAAACAAGATGAACATTCCCTGAGATCCTGGCTCGTCAATGGCAGCAGGAGACCTAGGAGTCGTAAGATCAGGAAAACAATGGGTCATTACCCTTGGGTTATCAGGCCTCAACACCATTACCAAAAACAACATTGTGGACCACTGCACAAGAAAGAGATGAAATTCTGTTACATACTCAATGGTGTTAATCCACCAGTGCCTCTATTGTTTCATTTATTAAATGATCTCAAAAACCTTCTTGTACTTGCCAGATTCATGAGCATTGAGTCAGAGCAACTCTTTCTGCCTGGCCTAAAGATAATCAGAGCTGGCACTATGAACAGTGGCAGGCAGCTAATGAGACAAGGGAACAGCTATAGCCTGGTGGGAGGCCAATTGTGCAAAATGTTTGTTTTATACAGCCCTGACCCTGCAAAGTACCTGTCACTGTAAATCCAGTATTTAGCCCTTCAAGATCATATCTCATCTAAATCTTTGGGAGTTTTGAGGGGACACGCAGGGAGTGGGAAAGGTTTAGAGGTGAGGGAAGCTTGCTATGTTGGATGTGGAATGAGTCTGATAGGGTAAGGGGCAGAAATATGGGAGTGTCTTTATCGCCAGGTTGAGAAGTTATCAGCTGTCCCTTGTTGACCGCCAAGGTCTTAGTATCAACCTTATCTCCTCTGGCCAGAACGTGTGGAGGGGGGGCTGTTTCCTGTACGAGGTGACGCATAGCACAGCCCTTCCTGTCGCTGTTGCTGTTTCCTCCTCTGCCTCTCCTCTCATCAGGCTGATTGTTCCCCACCACGGGCGGTGAAGGGTTTGGGGGGTTGGTGGTCAAATGAATGCTTTCTCTTGGTTTTATAACCCAGACAATCTGGTCTAGACCTGGACTCGACCCACATCAGTCTCAGTGGTCTTTTAACATACCCTCACCCTTTCAGACTCAGGGCTTTTAAAGTACGATAGCACGTTGTACTTTATAATCGTGTGATGTAAGCAGCATGTGTTCTAACGTAACATCAAGGTTCCCAATTTAATCAACATGAGAGTCTTTTTTTTCTGTGTTGTATTGTTTAAGGTCCAACACATCTACATTTGTCTCTATTCATACTGATTGCGTGTTTCTTATTACATTTTTTCTGTTCTACAGTTGCAATGCTAACAACAAGCCTCTTCCGGTCAACATTGTTGACAGGGGAAATAACTCCCACAACTGGATTAAGAGCATAAATGACAAGTCTGAGCTGGTTAAAGGAAAAAACAAGGTATGTGGTTAAACTTTATTTGTAGTGTTTCCACATGGGTTTGAAACAACAGATACACACCGTGACATGTGGATGACAAGTATCAGTGACCAACTCAACAATAAGATTTATATGAGAATTGGATCAAGAAGAAGTCTAAGGATCAAGGGAATAGACCAAACGCTAGGTCAGGTTCAAGTAGAAACCTCTTGTGACCGGGGCTTGAAAGTCAGATGTAACATCTGAAATCCATAAATCATTACTATGTTCCTGCTTTTGGCAGTGATGCTGTACGTTTTTCACTGAAAGTGATTCATTTTGTCTGCGGTAGTTTTGACTTATTTAACTGTGACCAAAACACATGAAAAGGCCCTCAGCAGTCCCTTTTGAAGAAATCAGTCTTGTTTTTCATTGTTGCTCTTAAAAAAAATCTTGATTAATTCTTGGAATAAACAACCAAGAAAATATGGGAAACATTCTTGTTTTTTACACGTATGATGTGTTGCATCTGAAAAGGCATATATTATATTGATAAATAATGTACATTTACAATATAAATGTAACATACTTGGATAACTAACTGCATTGGTTTTCCTTCCTATAATGAGCAATGTACTTTGAAATGGTGAACCCATAACGCATAGACACAGTTAATTTTCCTATAATGGAGTGACATACACATTCACAGTTCTTTCATATGAAGAAGGCCTGTAAATGAAGCAGCTGCAGCTTCATCCTGGGCCTTGCCAAAGAAACATCTTTTATTCTGACATCAGTTAATCTTTTCTGCTGTTTAGACTCTTGGATCTAAGCCTTGTAAACCGTGCAAAATATATATGGCTTAAGCCATGCGTGTGCCAAGAGCTTTGAACAGACTTTTATAGATTCTACCCTACACCATTACCTGTGACGAAGAGCCACTACACACACTGAAAAACAGCTGGAACTGTGCTTTTGTTATGTAAGCATATTCTGCTGTAATTGCACATAATGTAATTATAAAAGCAAGCTCTGATCATGAAAACAGTGCATTTAAGCAGCTACAAATAGTCTGTCACACCAACACATTAGGCACATTTAGTTGTCTTACACCTCAATTATTTATTTCTGCAAAATCAACACTCAGGTTTGAATGTCGGATCTACGAGTCCATCAGCTTTTCTTAGACAACATAAAACCCATGTCTTCGTGCAAACCTAAACACAATACGGAAACTGTAGACAAATGTCCTGTGGGAGCCGTTTACTAAAACTGTTCACCCAAACGAAATTAAGAGCAGGCCTCCTTTGCCTCTGTAGGATAAGGTTAAAGAAACCCATTACAGCAGAATAGGCCAAGTAAGGCACATATTCGTTGTTATAAAGGTTTTCAGCTATAAAGAATCCATGATCATTCTCAATCCAAACTTTTCGTTCACTGTTTTCACCTGTATTTCTGGTTCATAAGTAAGTGGTTTATTGTCTCCTGCTCTCTGATTAAGCTCAGAATGAAACCCACAATCATATAATAATTGTAATTTTGACAATTTTCATAGGGCATCAGTTCTGATATGTCTCTGACATGAATTGGGAGGCACCACTTATTTAAAAGTACTTGTGGCCAAACGCTGGTGCTTTATGAGGGTTAGGACTAAGGGTCAATGATAACAAGCAGAAGTTTAAAAGAACAGGGATTTGTTGGAAGTGAATTCCTCTCTGTCACCCCACATAAATCGTTGTGGCCCGTGAATAAGAACGTAGTCAAGGCCGGGCCTTTCAGTGCCTCCCCAGAAGGCCCAGTAGAGAGGAAGACTGGCCCGGGTCATAATATATGGAAAACACAGGGGGGGCACAGAGGTCACAGTGCGTCTGGTCAGGTCACCTCTTGGGGACTGTGCACAATTGTTTAAATGACTGTGTTCGAGCTCGGGTTACATCATGGTGAGTAATAGCCGTAACATAATACCATAAGGCCACTTCATCTCTGTTTTGACAAGTGTCACAGCAGCATGAATCGAACAATATGATATGACTTTTAAACACACATTCTGTGACTGCCTGAGTGTTTGTATCGTGAACATTGTTTCATGGCTACAGCTGTGTGTCTTGAGAGTCAGCACAATAGCTCCTACAAGCCTAGGAGGTTTAGGCCAGCATACACCCAGACAATACACCCACATCATTCACTCTCTTTGATGTAGCTAACTGGCCCCCAAAAAACAGATGTCAACCTGAACACTAAGCAGAGCCCCACGCAGTCTGGCCCTCACCCAAGTTTCACTTATTATTTTGTCTATTTAAGCCATTGAAATGTTGAACTGGCGCAATGATAAAATTGAGTATGGCGTTAGAAGTGCTTTCCAGGAAATGGACCTCGAGCCATGGCACTAGATCTATAGTACAGGTCTGAAGGCGACTCAGCGGGTTTTAAACTCCAGATGTATCCTTTTATTAATGTTACGCACTGGAAAGTATAAGTCAAACCAGGCTCTGGACCTCTTACCCGCCTGTTAACAGCGACTCGCTGCTCTGATGGTGATTGAACCTTAGAGATACGTCACACTGAAAGTTCATGTCGAAGCAGAATTCTGAATTGTGATGTTAAACATTTGTTGTTTATCTCCACATGTTTTCTTTCTGTTTGGAACAATCAGTGATAATTGCCCCTCTTATCCCAATTAGACTGTGAGCACCCTGGTGATAGGAGACGCTGTCATGTCAGGACAGTACACATGTGGGGCCCAGAATGAAGTTGGCAAGACCACAATGACGATCCCTTTCTACGTTGACGGTAAGTGGGTCACCAGAATATGAAAGCTGAAATATTTAAATCTGAATAGCTCAGCTAAAAGTGCAAACAGAGTTTTATTGCAATAATAGCAAAATGCACTATACTGTGCACTGGATTCTTTCAAATTATCTACACGTACAGTACACGCTGTAATGAATTGCAAGAACAGCGAAGGAATGTGCAGATTGCATTGTGCAATAAAGAAACCAGAGGGGGGCATTAATTGAAACCATCTTCCACTGCAGCTGAGTGGCTTCAGGGTGGAAGAGAGGCAAACATGTCCTGAGCCATATGGAGTGCTATAATGGCACGCTTTTAAAAATAACTATGAATAGCATGCATTCCTGCTCTGCTGCCAGCAGGTCATTCCTCTTTCTCTGTTAGCTTTCTGCTAGGAGAATTCAAGAGTTTCGAGAGTTCCCAACATAGATATCAATTAAGACATTCATGTATTCATAGTGAGGATGTGGTGTCACTGCAACAAAGTGAATCACAATTCCTTAAAAGCTGAGTGAATCACATCTCCTGAGGGGTGGAGGATTGCTTTTGGGGAGGGATGTATGCGGGTGAGCCCAAGCTTGAGGGGATGCCAAGGGCCAAAAAACGTGTCTCCCAGAGTGAGAGAATTCCAGAGAGGAATTCATCTCTCTTCCAGAGGTGAGGAAGACGGAGAAAGATGGAGAATACTGCTAAAAAAGAGGACACAAATGTGATAACAGCTGCCTTCTCTTACGGAACACAGAACGCTTTCCAGCAATCTGAATAAACAAGCTCAGTCTGGTTCCCCTGGGGCCCAGACTCAGCTTCTCTCCAATCGGATGAGTGCGGCAGCGCCGTCAGGCATGCAGTCCCCTGGCAACGCGCTTCCAATTAGCAGTGATGAAACAGGAAATAACTGCAAATTTCACATTCCTGGCATTGCAACAAGCAGCAAGTATTGTCCAACAGAGGATGCGTGTCTCTGTTCGTGTAAAACATGATGTGGAATGCTCTTCTTTATTCATAATTAGTAACTTTTGTTGACCCCATCTGATCATTGAATGTATCTGGAACTGAGGATGATTCAACATCATTGAAATCCATTTTCACACCAGATCAACCTGAGGAAATCACCATCGAACCTCAGGCAGCCATCGAGGGGGATGACGTCACTCTGACCTGTCGGGCAGCTCGCTACCTTTACAAAGACCTACACTGGTTGGATTCCAGGAATCAAACGATCACTTCCAACGTGTCCAGTCTCCAGATCAGCCGCTACTCCATTTCTCTTTCTCTCCGTCTGCATAACGTGTCCCAAATCAGCACTACAGGTTACAAGTGCCAAGCATACAAGCTCCACAAGAGGGTTGAACTCAAGACCGCGGCACTTTTTGTGGATGGTGAGTTAGAGGAGGATATAAGAAACTTGCAACACTTGATAAGTCGCTGTCTGAACAAGACAGTAATAGAGAAACAGCAGCTTTAATTCAAACCTTTTTTTATGTTTTGTTTTTTGTGCAGTGAGAAAAAGCCCCTGGCTGAGTCAAAATCTGACTGATCAAGATGTGAACAGTAGCAGCACCCTGATGCTGGCCTGCTTTGCTCTGGGAGTTCCTCGTCCGTACATCATGTGGTACAAAAATGGCGTTCAGGTGGAGGAAGGACCAGGTAACCTGAGAATGCTATTCTATGTGCCATGATTATCTTATGATATGATACAATTTTATAATATTGGTTAACAGTGGCACAAGTGCAATCCTGCTGCAGAACTGCACAACTGGATGATGGGCTGAAAGAGAAAGAATACATTTTGTTGTTAGGAAGACTGTATTATCAGCAGGTGAATCTGTCATCTGCTTTGAAAGCTGCTGACAGTTTCTCAATGTGTCAAAGACCAGGCCACGTTTTTTCATTGTAGGGCATATTTGCTCGAGGCACAAGTAAACAACATTTCTGATTCAGAGTGGGGGTGATGTCATTTCAGAAGCTGAATTTATATTTCCAAAACCCTAAAGTTCCTATCTATGCACACTGAAGACATTTGTGCAGTTAAGCTGCACTTACTGTTGCAATCGTTTATATAATTACGGGCTGTTGGCAAAGTAAAGGTTTCATTCAGTTGTATTCAGGTTGTCAAATTTGCATTTACACGCACACTGTGAGAAGATAAGTATGCTAAATCCTTTTTATGTAATTGCATAACCTCAGCTCCCACAGAACATATTATTTCTGGCTCATGGTGTTTAAAACATCCTGAGTAGAAATTTAATTATTCTGCATAAACACAACCTGAGTAAGAGTGGGTTACTTTCCAGCCATAATTTTTATAAGCTCAAGTGCCTGAAGATACACTGTTTCACTTTCATCTGCTTTTGAACTACTGCCAGTCTGCACTTGCACAAAAGATTGAGTCCCAAATGTTAAATGTCACACCTTTTAAACTGTATCAGTTTGACTGAGATTGTGTGTTGCAGGTATCAGTCTGGGAAAGGACGGGGTCCTGACCATCGAGAGGGTGAAGAAAGATGATGAGGGTCTCTATGAGTGTGTAGCCAGCAATGTTGAGGGTTTTGCGAAAACCAGTGCTGTTGTTACTGTGGTCGGTAAGTCACTCAGACACCTTGAGATATTAACTAACTAACCATCAAAAAAGATCCAACACTCACCAACAACTTGCTGCATTGTCAGTGGAGTGTTGTGGGCTACACATCGCATCAAATACACTAATCGTCCGTCCAAAACAGTGGAGTCATTGCATATTCTGCATGTCCAATCAAAACGTCTCAGAGGCCCTCTTGTTTTCTTGTCACCACTACAAATAGCTCTCGTCTGACTTCATTATGAAAAGTTTCCCCTGACAGAAAATCTGTGGCTGCCAGGAATGCCAAGTGAATTCCTTCTCGGGTTTTATGACCGAGGCTCTGGCTGAGGGCCTTTACCTTGAGGACGTGACCTCTGTGAAGTGTTAAGAGGTCCACTAATGAGTGCATTAGATTGAGTGCTACAACAGCCAAGGGGCTGGAAACACACAGTAGATAATTGGAGTAGCATGTCTCTTAACGTGTGTGTGTGTGCCTGTGTACCTTCACATGTAAATGAATTGACGTGAAGGTCAGGATGGCAGTGTAGGTGAGATGTCATGCATGTAGTTTTTTCCAAACAGATTCTAAATATGCTAAACTTCAATCTCTCTTAAAATTCAACAGTAAGTGTTATCAATTCCATCTGCACCACAAAGATATTTCAGCAACAGGCTGTATGCATGTTCTGCTTGGCTGTTTAGTCAAAGATTACATAATATAAGCGCCAGACAAACTTGTTGTGCAGATTCAAGGGATACGATGTTTCAGAGTGTTGACATGGATAGTTAAGAAAAAACAGTGTTTGGAAGAAAATATTATCGGAAAAAGTGTGGTATGCATATCCTAAGCAAACCAGAAATAAACAGCAAAGTGTGTTTCTATTTCCTTTTTGTAAATAATCTCCCAGAGAATTAACAAACAAATAAACGATTGACAAATTTGTAACAGAATGTTTTCTTTTGATCTCACTATTATATGACAATTTATGAGGTCATGAAAAGCACACAGTGGTTTCTTTGCTTAATAGGTCTGGTAGTTGACAATAGTTTTTCTCTTTCCAGGGGATGAAGGGAAGCCAAATGTTGAGGTGATCATTTTGGTGTGTACGGGAGCTGCAGCCACGTTCCTCTGGCTCATGCTGATCCTCTTCATCCGCAAGCTAAGGAAGGTAAGACGCTGTGTTACTTCTTTATATTACAAAGTATATGACATTAGCATTTACCAAGATGAGGAAAGTTCAAGAGTCATGGCATTTGTGATTTCTTTTTTTTGTGGTTCCTGTTTTCAACTAATTTGACTCCAATGATTTCATAGAAGCGACTGACTAATGCTTCTTGTGAAATACAGTTAAATGGAAGGACACATTTAGCCAGTGTTTATGATTTCCACATTTCCTTCGATGAGCTGGAAATGCTGAGCTTGTTTGTAAGTTCAGTCAAAGGAGAACATAATGTACTTATGCAAATAAAACAACGAGGAGACATTTATGCACCTTTGATCTGGACAAGTATGCGTAGAGCAAGAATTTTTATAGTCAATTCAACATTTTTCACGACTTACTGATCATTTGAAATGAAACAAAAGTTCAAAACTCTGCGTTGTGTCGTGGTTGTCATTGTCAAAAACGTATTAGATCATTCATATTTTGTAATTCAACACCCTCAGCAACCGGCACAGTATAAGATGGGTCCGTCTATCATCATTGACCCTGACGAGTGTCCCCTCGAGGAGCAGAATGATCTTCTTCAGTACGACAGCAGTAAATGGGAATTTCCCCGTGACCGACTGCGACTAGGTGAGAATCCAATGTGCAGAAAAATGTTGAAGACATAATTTTCATATATTACGGGCAACTTTAGACACAGTTGGTTTCTTTTAAATGGGTTAACCGCAAGGCTGCCATAACTTTAGATGTTAAGATGATGTTTAAACAATAACAGAACATCCAGAGCCACACTTGGGATATCTCACAATATTAGTGTGTGTAAATAGCTTGCTAGCTGGATGAATGAAAATGTACACAACCCAGCAGGTAATGCCCTTGATGATGTGTTACTTGTGGTGATGATTTGGATGATGTAGATTCTCTAATGCAAAAATAATTTGACTGTAACTTTCATTTACATCACTGTTTCTGATTTCTCTGCTTTGAGCATATTTGATTGGCATTTTCCGGACAAGAAGTTCAACCACAAAAGGTTAAAAGTTCATTTTAAAAGTGTTTCATGTTGAGAATATACATAGCCACATTAAGTTACGTGGAATAGGTGTCACCCCTCTCTGCAGCAGCTGTGTAGGGTCATTACTTATCAGTGACCTACGCTGTCATCCAGTCTTAAGTGAGCCATAAATTCTCCTGGCGTGTGTTGTTTTAATTACAGACCCATAGCCTGACTGACAGGGAACCTTGTCTGATTTTTCTGACTGAGGGACAGGAAACTCTAATGTCGTCCCACTTATCGAATACCTTCTTCCTTTGCCAGGCAAAACTCTTGGCCATGGAGCGTTTGGAAAAGTGGTGGAGGCTTCTGCCTTTGGGATCGACAAGCTCTCAACCTGCAAGACTGTCGCTGTCAAAATGTTGAAAGGTAAGATATCAAAAAAAAAAAAAAAAAAAATGTTAAACTGTGACTCTACTGTAAATTATAGGCATTTATTTTGACAGAACCACTTGTTATTTTATTTTTCACATATGTAGTTGCCCATGTGGCCCCTCTTGTTTATCCTGGAGGTACCACCACTCATGACAGACAGGCCTGCATTAATGTCACAGTATCTACTGTTGTGTGGGTAGCAGATGAATAATGAATGTCATTTCTGCGGAAAGATTTATTTCTTGCGCACATTACAGACTCACAGCATCACATGTGCCTGCAGTTAATGTTTGTATGGCGTATCGGTTCAAAAAGAGCATGTAATGTCTGTTCCTCGCAAAGTGCAGTTAAAGGTAAGGACTAAGATCTCTAAGCCTGTTCTTGATAAAAAAGATGAAGTGTGTGCAGATCTGACAGCTCAGATCAGAATGTCCAAAATCTGCAGGTGAAGAAGAGTTCCAAAGCTGAAGATGCAAGTACCAAATGAACAATAAAACCATGTTTGCCCCATTTTAGAGATTCCAACATTTGGAAACTATCAGCTGTCTCCGGTCTTTTTAAAGAAGAAATATTTTCCCATTCCAACGTCTCTCCAAATATTTACAACAAATGTTGGATCAAAAATGAAAACAGTAAAACCAACAAGCTGAAAAGTTTTCATGAAAATGTTATGACTAGAGAAGCAAACTGCAGAACCATCAGTCATCAGAGATATGGGGATGACGGATCATGAAGAATAGGGCTTATGTATTAGATGTATTGGTCACTGTCATATCATTAAGCATGTCTCAGCATAAATCACAGACTCTCTGAGAGGACTCTGGCTGTTAGTCGTAGGTCAAAGTTAATGTAAAGCAGCAGGTCTCCTCAAATTGACCGTGGTTTAGCTACAGACTCCCTGGCTGCTTTAGCCTTGAGCTCATAAATATCAGGGCGGTCAAGGCAACATAAAGCAACCCCTAAATCTTAATTTTCATAATTCAAAGTTAAATCACTTTTCAAACTTATTAAATTTGGTTATTACATGTGAGCGCCTCCCTTTTTTATTTTTCAAATTTTGTTGGCATTCATCTTTGAAAAAGCCTCTTCATATCGCTGGGCTTAAAGCAATATTATTATTTTTCCATCATATTTAATGAACTCTCAAAATGAAATTCCCCAGTTATCCATCTAACAAGGTTCAGTTTTTTTTCCCACATTCTCGCTACACATGCAAACGAAGACAGAATTTACTCGTGAAATGTAAGGCAAGGCAAGTCTGGAAAAAATATCATCATCTGTATGTTCAGATTGTATATGTACACATGCTGGTATTTAGCAAGTCGTCTATTATTGTCCCCATGTATCCAACGGTTGTGTTTCCAGTTCCAAAAAAACGAAACTCAAAGGAAATATCGATTACATGTTCTGTGTTTGATTGTTTATACAACGTTTGTTCCCTCCTGTGTATAAAATATCTTTACAACCTTGCTTATTTTTCACAGAAGTTATCTTTGCGTACGATCTTAACTGAATCATCTGGCGAGGTGGTCTCATTTTGTTTGATGTCTTCGATCTTAACTTTATAAAAGGGAAAATCTGTTTCTTATTATCTTTTCAATGAGTTTGGATTCCAAGCGTTCAAATTGTTCAACGGAACATTGTTGGAGTGATCCTAAACAAAATTAAAGGAAAATGAAACACAATGAGTATCAAATTTATTGTGAAAATGTTCATCCTTTAAGTCAGGATGTTTGATACACCAACCGATGCTGAAAACGTTCTTCATGTGTTTGCATTATTACAGGAGGCGCTACGTCAAATGAGCGGAAAGCTCTGATGTCAGAGTTGAAGATTCTGATCCACATTGGCCATCACCTGAACGTGGTCAACCTGCTGGGAGCCTGCACCAAGCCTGGAGGTGAGCTTTACTACTGAGGAAGTCATAAAAAGTGGTCCCACTGTTTCAATATTTGGGTATAGAAAATATAATATATAAGAAGAAATTGTCAGTTTAACTTGAAACTATCACATGATGTAGGAATAATCATGAGAGATACACCATTTTAACAGGCCCATTGATGATGATAGTGGAGTTCTGCAAATATGGCAACTTGTCCAACTATTTGAGAGGCAAGAGAGATGACTTTCTCGTCTACAAGGTGAGTCACGAGCTGCATGATTTAGACTTTTCGATCATTCTGGCAACGAGCTTGTCAGCATTGTGAGCAATGATGGACTGTTTTTACAACCATATAGAGAAGCCCCATGATGCATGTCAGCAGCAGTGTTTACCCTCATCTTTTTTAACATGATATATGTGTGTGTGCTGGTCAGAGCCAGGACGGTAAGGTGGTGTCGTCAGGATCGGGCTGCGAGCTGAGCGAGATGATGAAGCGCCGCCTGGAGAGCGTGGCCAGCAACGGAAGCTCAGCCAGCTCTGGCTTCATCGAAGATAAGAGCTACTGCGACTCAGAGGAAGAGGAAGAAGGTAAAGGCCAACCACGTCTTGCTTCCCTTCAACCCCCCTCTGTTTGTCCCTCCTGCTGTCTCCTTCTTCGCCCCCTCCTCTCACCTCTGCTCCACCCCTCCTGCCCAGGAATGAAAGCTCCCCTCAGATTGTTTTGTAGCCTGAGTCTGATAGGACATTTCCTCCTCCTGTTCAGCAGTACAATCACTGCAGCAGGAGCCTCTGTCACCCCACTGAGTCTGCGGAGGCGTCTGTTTATTTCCTGTCCTGACCTGAGTGTTACTCTGCTCTGTGGCTCCAGCTCGGACACGGCACGTCAGCCATGTTGTTCCTGATGTGTTATTTCTGGTTTGATTAGCTGTTTACTCAGGTGGGCCAGTGGAAGGACTCCTTGTGAGTTCCTCTCTCAGACCCCCGACCAGCACGCTGGGCCCATAACCACACGTTTCACCTGACATTTCAAAAATAGGAGGAATTGTAATTTGTTTTCATTTCTCGTCTGAAAAGGAAGTTTTAAAGACATTGTGTAGGAGGAGACGCGTACGTGATTGTTAAGATTATGTATATTAGTTTGTTACTGTTTCATCTTCTCTGATTTATCTGACAAAGAGCTGCTGATCACGTTCACTGCATTAAAAAAAAAACACCTGCATGATTTGGATCATTGTCCTAAATGTATAAGCCATATATATCCAATCAGAAAAATCTGTCTCACTGGGAAAACTTTGTGTTCTATTGTTTCACAGAATCTGAGGATTTATATAAGAGAGTCCTGACGTTGGAAGATTTAATTTGCTACAGTTTCCAAGTTGCAAAAGGCATGGAGTTCTTGGCTTCCCGCAAGGTATTTTCTTCACATAATTCAGACATCTATCACGACATTTTATTTTAAACAGTGTTGTGCTTTTTTTTTTAAATATAATGTTATTTTGATATTTATTATCAGATAATTATTATAATTTGGACACATTTTACTCAGTATAGTGAAGGATCGCTGTGCTCACCCTTGTTTACTGTAACTGGAGTGTTTAAACTAGAAAAGTGTCCAAGTAGAGGCAAAATAAGTAAGTGTAAACCATTTTGCCTCTACTGTGACTCCAGTGTTTCTCAAGCTTATCAGTCTAGATATCATTCATTGTTCAAGTCATTCATAATTTTGGGGAGGCCGGATGGGACTGATTGAATGAATTGAATGAGAATGCCATTGTTGTAGATAACCTGTTACAGACTGTTTCTTAGATATGGAACACTTCATCTCCTATTGTAATACTACTATGACTTGACCACATGTTGCTCTGCAAGAAGCCATGCTTCATAGCCCGCAGAGTACCGTTAAGTGAATTACACGCAGAAAATGTTGCATTGAATACGGTTTTGTTGCTTCCTTTTTTTCATTAGTGCATCCATCGGGATTTGGCTGCACGAAACATCCTGCTGTCTGAGAATAATGTCGTGAAGATTTGTGATTTCGGACTTGCCAGAGACATCTACAAAGACCCGGATTATGTGCGCAAAGGAGATGTAAGTTTATTAAAGTCCAGTCAAGTCTTTTTCCAGCTGTCTGAGTTTTACTGTCTTACAAAATAAAATACTCAGAGCATTTTCATTAATCGATAACATGCGAAACAGTAAGCTATCACTGACTTGGCAGAAACAGTTAAATACTTGGGAATCTTTGTTTGAATACTAGATTATGAAACTAAATAAGCTAAATCAAAAGCAGTACCTGCTCACACAATTTAAACCAACTGGCTCTCCACAGATGTGACAGTGGAATTAGTCAGATGTCCACACCACTGAGATATTTCTTATCTTAATATCTGCACAGGCCAGACTGCCGCTCAAGTGGATGGCACCTGAGGCCATTTTTGACAAGATCTACACGACTCAGAGTGACGTTTGGTCGTTCGGTGTTCTCATATGGGAGATCTTCTCTCTGGGTAAGTGCCATGGCTCAGTATTGACCGTTACTTTTATAGTTCACACCCTGCTTATACAAACATCACACATCCAGACGTAAGCCTCTTTCACAGATAGTTCTCGGTAGATTACTGGAATAACCTCACAGGCACAGTTAATGATTTTCACTATACACATATGCGCTACATTCAGGACCATTGTTATCATCGGCATTTTTCCACATGCCATGGCGAAGCTCGAACAGATAGGGAAAGGGACAGTACAGAAAATGGCAGTTATGCAACACTTATGGATGCCAACCGCCATAAAACTCAACTGAAGAAGATGATTTGCATGTACCCGGCGGAAGACGTCTCTTATTATTTTTAGGAACATGGTGGGGATATGTTTTAGCCGTAAATGCTAAACCATAAACATGTGTTGGATTTAAATATGGCATCAGCAGAGTCTTGTGATTGGTTCGGTCGCTGCATGTGAAAGAGTCTTTCGTCAGATAGACGTGACCCTTTACATGCTTGTCCCTGCAGTGTTACTGTTTTATTGACAATACAGCGTTTTCCCTGGAATGTTATGTGATTCATTCATTTCACATTTAGTTTATGTTAAACGTCCCCACATTATGCATAAAGCCTGGCATCTCAGTCAAACATGGGGATCTGTTATCAGAGATGTTCCATGGGAAGAAGAGAGCTCTACTAGCTCGGTGGACTCGCTCGGTGCCCCCTGCTTTACAGCCTCACCAGATGCACTGGATAATAACTGTGTTTTTCTTCTTCTGTGTAATTGTGCCCCAGACAAAACGGTCTGGCTTACATTGTCAGCCTGAGAAAACTATTGTCATGCCACTCAAACATTAGTGGAGTTCGTCTGTGATTTTTAGTACAGTCATGGGACATTAAAAAGGAGAGAACACCTCCTATTTAAGTTATCGGTTTCGTCCCAGCTGGCAACACAAACTCATTGTAACCAGGCAGCCAGATCAGTGTAAGAGTGTTCCCCTGCTGTGAAACCACTGCAGTCTTTAAGGCCGCATTGTGTGCCGGCCCATGATTGCCTGTGCACCGTGGCACAGAGCTCACCACACGTTTCTATAGCAAGACTCAACGTGAAATATTGTATGTTTAAATGTCACCATGGGAAGCAGTAGAAACATAAGAGCAAGTGTAACCAAAGTTGGATGTATTTCTTTTCCGTACATTTTGACTGTGTTGCTTTTGAATCACCGCCATATGGTGTCGTCACCCACTGCAGTTGAAAGAAAAGTGTGTCAAATTGCATATTCTTTTAAATGTAAAGCACACTGACGTCATTATGATACTTTACCTTTTGTCTTTCCTTCTTTTTCTTGGATTCTTTCTCCCTCTTTTTCACTCTTGACACATTCTCACCACATTTTTTCCATTAAAGAAACACTTACACATCTGGGTGCTGTTAGCGGGGCCTCGGAAAAATAAATCAGGAAACAAGGATACAAAATGACCGAGAAAAATGGCAAAGAAGTGAGCTTTGCAGCCTGATCACGTTCAGAGGTCAAAAGTTTCAGGGTAACCAAAGTGTGTTTTTCAGCTCTCTCTGTGAACCAAAAGTGAGTCCGTGGCATTTTGTGGGTTTAAATATGCCAAAACGTCTTTGAATAGTGTTGATACCCAAAGGTGAACCAGGCCTGAGTTGTGTTTGTCATACTAGATATACATGATTATCAGGATGACATTGCCTTTATACAGAGAAGAGATGAGAGAATATTCTGTATCGTCATAAAACACAGGTCATTTCAAACAGGAGAGACTTCTTTTGAGTGAAACAATAATTTATTACACATGCATGAAGAGATGAATAGTGAATAGTCTTTGGCGATGACATAGTATATTAAAAGAGGTAATGATGCTGTGGTTAGATGAGGAATATTCCTCCCTGGATTCTAGACACTGGTGGTGTGGTGATGAAGGGAGTGTCTGAAGATGGGATATGATGGAGACTGGAGGTGAATGGGATGGAGGAGTGTTGCATCGGTTCCCAATATACGTTGTATGGCCTGTTTTATGCACAACAAATAACGTAATGAACCTCTCCCCCTCTTTCCTCTCCCAGGTGCCTCTCCATACCCTGGCGTCCAAATTGACGAAGAATTTTGCTGCAGGCTGAAAGAGGGGACCAGGATGAGAGCACCAGAATACTCCTCCTCTGAAATGTGAGAATCCCTATAAACGATTTCTTCAGAAAACAACAAATAAAAGTAAAAACGTATATGCATGCTGTTCACCTTACGGGAACAGTGAAGTGGACTGTGTTTGGGAGCATTAACTTGATAGATAGATATAAACTTTATTCATCCCCAGGGTGAAATTAGTTTGTAGCTGCAGCAATTTATAGAGTAAAATAAAATATAAAATATTACGTATGGAAATGCACAATATATACAGTACAATAAAATAATAGAGCAGATATTGAATTTGAAGAAATAGAATAATAAAAAATAAAATAAAATAGAATAAAAAATAAAAATGCAAAAAATGCACAGTATATACAATGATATGCTGTTTTTCTGTCTTATCCTGGGAATCTGTCTTTGAAAAATGTAGAGGTGCAAACATTTTATTGTTTGAACTATCATAATATTTTAATCTTTATAACGTTCATACTTGTATAGCTGGAGAAGTCGATGTGATTGTTTATCACAGCCAGCTCCATATTCCAAGCTGTATGTTCTCCTCAAAGATTCCAAGAAAGTATCGGCAGCAAGTAAAAGCTTCCCATATCGATATAAACCTAAGAGGAGGCATTGTGTCTTTCTCCCTCTTTGTGGTTGCACCAGGAGGTGTGCTTGATAAGAATCATGGGTAATCCTGCCATGAATGTAGCAGGAGGAAACATTAGCTACTGATTAGCTGTGCAGTCTTTTCTGACTGACAGTGGTGCAGATGTAACTGAGCACCATGTTTAAATGCGATGTCTAGAGTTCTGGAGAGACTGGAGAATTCTTTTGAGTGAGGGCTGTTGGATTGTGCTGGACATAAATATCTGTGGGAGAACAAAAAGTCCTCTTCTGTGGTATCAGTGCTGTCAGTCAGTGATGCAGCTAGGAGAACTATTTTTGTAATGGGGTACTTCGACTTTTATGTCTAATGTACAGCCAATCCAGACAAAGCGTCTCCCGCCAACATGTGTGCTGACTTTTTGTCTGGTTTGAATTTAAAATGACTCATATAGTCCACAAATCGTATTTGTTTTGAAAGCATAATGCAGCACTTCTGCTTAATAATGATGTGATATCCATAGGTCCAGAGCTTTTAAGCAGCTTGTGCCAAGTAAAGCTAACTGAATGAATTTATCAGCTTTGCAAAGATGACAGTGATTGGAAACGATACACAAAATCTAATCCAGACTGTTGTTCAGAACAGAGGATCTGTAAATGCAGACCGACTGGTGCCAAGAATCTCTTGTTTTTCCATCTCGGAAAAATGTAACCGCCAGATTATATATTTTGCACGAGTATTACTGTGAGGGCTGCCTCTGATTTAAAGTTGAGATAAAAACCTGCTGATATCCGTGTAAATGAAAGTCAGTGGGGTGAATTCCGCAGATTCCCCGGACGGGTCTGCAGTTGATCACACGAGTTTGTAAGCCCAGGTTTTGACCTTCACCCCAAACTCGTAATATATGAATGATGCACAGGAGGTTGCAGGCAGTGTTGAGCAAACAATTTGTGCCTCTGCAGCAGGAATGTTGTCTTCCATCTGTGAATAAGATTCCCCGTCCTGATGCATTGCAGAGGAATTTAGCGGATGCTGCTCAGAGAGTGGGCGGTCAATAAATAGGATGCTCATTTCCCATTCTACCACAGTTGCTCAACTGGACAAAGTAGCTCAGTTTTACAGAATCTCTACAGATCCCCCTCCAAACACACACACACACACACACACACACATACACACTTAAGCAAGCGGAGGAAGGGTATTCTCATTGCGGTCCAGGCAGGAAATATGGTTTAAATTGTGCAGTCATACAATGTGTCTACTTCCCCTCATCAATGATATGCATAAAGGCTGTGATCCAGCGCTCCACATCCTGTCACCATTAGGAGGGCTCCCACCTGGACGAGTATACTCTACATTCATTAACGTGGGAATTCGCAGCCGCCCGGTGGGGGCGGAGGGTGGGGGGGGTTAATAAAGCAGCATCAGACCATCTGCTTTTCCAAGTCCTCAGACTTGAGATTGACTAATACGATGCCAAAAGGGAATCGCAATTGTTCTATTTACATAAAACTTAAGGTATCTGTAGGGAAGTATTGGTTGCTGCAACAGAAACCGGAGAGGGATCCATCACCCCCCCATCATTCCCAATCAGTAACATGCTGTAATTTAAACAGCAACCATGGTGCTCTGTTTCTAAATGTCTCCACAAAATGAGACAGGTCACTGTGATGGAAACTCACATTAAGGCTCAGAGTCTTCCCATATGGGCGGAGACGCTGACAGCCTGTCAGAGACCTAAGCAGGGCTGTGTGCTCTCAAGACCAACAGAGAATCAGAGACAGCCCTAGAGGCTCAGGATCAGGATCACCTGAGAAGAAAACAGGGTGTGCATGAATATTCTCGATGACAGTCGGTTTAGAGGTGGACCAGATGTGGTCGCTCAATGCAACAAGGTTTCTTTATTGGACTACCAACCCTGAGGATAGTTAATATTATTCTTTTTAAAAGTGCTTATTCACAGTTATAATACATCAACCCAAATATACTGTATGTTGTTAGTTGTCTTTGGCATTTAGAGTGTCCATCCAGTACGCTGAAGGCGTGCGATTGTCCATCTTGCAGTCTGTGTTCAGTGGTGTGTTCTTTGCTCTTAGATATCAGACCATGTTGGACTGCTGGCAGGGGGAGCCACAGGAGCGACCGACCTTCATTGAGCTAGTGGAACAGCTGGGAGATCTGCTTCAGGCCAGCGTGCAACAGGTATGGTAGACAAGACAGAGTTACTATTTGAACTCTACATATGATGTGTCATACATGTGTTTCAACAGTAGCAGGCATCATTAGTTTATGATCAGCAGCTGTTGAGCTCTGGTGTGAACTCAAACTGAAAGTTAAAGGAGACACGACAAAGAGACTTATGGATGTGGTTTCTCAGTAAATAACAAATACTGAAACAGAATTTATATATTTTTAAATCCCCACCAAAGGAATCGTGATCATACTCTGGCTTCACAAAACACTAGTTCTGCATAATGAGTCACAAAAGTTGCAAATATTTAGGAAACAGCGTTGCCGATCAGAGTCCGGCCGCTGAAAGAAGATTCAAAGCGGCGTCTCACCCAGGGGGGTGCTCAGACTAACTGAGAGGGGAAATAACATTCAACACAAACACTTGGCTCTCTTTGAAATGGCCACATCGGTCTTATAAGAGGACCCACACTTCAAAACACATGGAAAAACAATGTAATTATTAGTGTGATGCAACATAACATCGTCTGGTATGGTTGTGAAATGTCACAAACAGTTGGAAGTTTGTGGATTTTACAAGGCTGTCAGAAAGTTTTACAGCTGTTGGCTCTAATCCATTCAACAAATATGCACCAGAGGAAAAGTCTGCATATGATTATTATGAAAACATATTACACTGAAGGGAAATGACACCTTTACCAATAAGCTTTTTTACAGCAGACATTTTGACTTGCCAAAGTATGAAAAGTACTTAAGTGTTACTAACAAGACTAAGAATAGCTCTGATCTATTCCCAGTAAGCCGCAGCAGTGTGTAATACCATGATGCTGAAGCTGAAGCGGCTGGATGGAATTTAGCTGCCATTCGTTTTATTGATTACACCTTTGCTTTTTAAGAGAAAACAGATTAGGTTTGGTTCGGTGTTCCATGGGATCAGATGGACATCTAGTCCTATTCTCCATTCAAATGAATAGGAACAATGTATTTGAAGCTTTCACCAGAACCTCCCCAGAGCGCAGAATAGGTTAACTCAATGAGTCGCTGACATTTTAAACAAAAGTGATGAAGACTTCAAATGTTTTTTGAAGAAGATGAGTGAAACTTGACAATAGTAGAGCAATAACTATCACAGATGACAGGAAACGGAACAGAGTCCCAACTAGACACGGATTATTTTCAGCCATCAGGATCCACAAGCTGCCCAAAGTCATGTTTCCACTTCCAGCCACTAAAGAGAACAGGCTTCTTGTCCAGAATGTACATTACAGACACACAAAGAAAATTAATTAGATTTCACAGCTGCAGACTACACAGGACTGTAGATTGTGTGGAGCAACAAGAGATAAAGACAAGGCCACACATGACATCACATGAAAACTGCAGCATGTTGCATTACAGATGAGTCTGTGAAAGCTGGACAGAGTAAACAGTGGAGGGGTTTGAATCTTATTAATGAAGGTATTGTTACAGTGCAGGAAGGCTGGTCACAGACTCTGCTGCCTCTACCAACTTCATGAACAAAGTATATTGTTTTGGATATGTTAAGCATGACCTCAGTTTCTTTGGCTGCTCGCCACAGCCTGTGGATGTGCGTCTCTGTATAACGTGCACACAACATCGACCCACAAGCCTCTCTTCTCTTTATAATTTGCGTCCTGGGCCTGCACTCTTAGATATTCTGTGTCTGTTTGGTTGTTTTAGGAGGGGAAGCACTACATACCCATCAACACTGCCCTGCTGGCGAAGCTGGGAGACCCGTCCGCCACAGTGCCGTCAGAGGAGACGCCCACACGACCCGTCTCCCACCGCGAATCAGGGAGCACATGGTGAGAACATGGATCATTTATTCATTGGCTGCGTAGTTTGAAATAGACTAAGGAAACTGGTGTTATTGTTCCTGTCACACTTTAACTAAACTCACCAGTACAACATTTAGGTCTGACCTGAGGACAATGAGTCCTGATTGGCTCATGATAAGAAATGTACACACAGCAGCTTGACGGAATTTCCCCAAAAACCATTGAGCCAGCTTCAAGATTTATGTCCACTTAAAATAATATTAGTTGAGGTCTTGGTTTTCACAGGTCCTCCAAGTGTGTTTATTGATGAGGTGTTGAAAAGCAGTAATGACAGTTAGCCTTTAAGCTAAATTAAGCAGTCGTTTTAGCCTCTGAGTGTTGAAATGCAAAGTAAACAAGGTGTGTTTTCAAAGTACGACGTCACAGATGCTGCACTTTATTGTTTTAAGTGATTAAGTTCCTGTGGTTTTGTTGCTGAACTTTGCTTCTTGCCTCCAGTGTAATCAAAGGATTCTTGAAACAGAAAGAGAACATTTTAGGGACATTTTGAGACTCACCCTGGAAATATTTTCTCGCCAGGAACATCAAGATCCGTCCTGCTAGTGTGAAAACCTTTGACGAGGTTACCATGGATGACGGGACGAATGAGAACCACGAGGTGAGTTATTCATTCTGGACTGAAACTGGAAACAGACGCACAATCTGCGCTCTAACTCGTCCTAAACCACGCGGTTAGTTAGCTGACAGGAATTTTGACAGTTCAATAGAAACTTCACCCTAGAACATAAATGTAGTTATTTATAGTTGCTCAGTTGAACTGTATGAGAGTATATCACTTTTTTTGTTGTTCAGGGTGAATTTTAAAATTGATTTAAGTTTCAACCTTTCAAAAGGAGTGTTCAAAGCTGATAACTTAGTCATTTTATTTCCTTCCCGGCTGTTATGTGGAGGCCCACAAAGCTCTTTATTTGGCCCAATTTTATTGAGTTTGTTTCTGCCAACATTTGGCCATATTATTCGTTACTTCAACACTGACTAATAATCTTTATGCTATCTCATTTAGCCAAAAATATCTTAACAGTCTGGATTCCCTGCACTGCTGTTACTCAATGTTTTAGGTCCAAACACTGTGGGAGAAAGTCTCCCTCACTATCAGAGGAGACGAGTCTCATTTCAGCTTTAAGGGCATCCTAATAGTTAGATTGTCAAGTATCAAATAAAGGTGAAAATGTACTCCAAAAACAGTCCTAAAAATAAGTTTTTGAAAGCACACCTGTAGGTGTAACTTACTAGTGCGGTGCTCGATCGGTGCCGTTGGCTCGGTGTTGCTGCTTCCACTTTTCTAGACTAGAGAACTGTTCATCCAAACAACTTCACATTCAACACTGCACTTCCTTTGGTCCTCAGCAATTCACCTGCCTTGACATAGTTGTATCTCTGAGCAATGCTAGAGTTACGCATAATTTGGGTGCAATAGCTCACACAAACATGGATTTTATGTTGTTGATTGTATTTGATTTTATTTCATTATGTTTGACCATTACCGTAGATTTCTATTACATAGTATTGCTTTTTATGTGCACCTGTGAAGCACCTCATAAGTCTGGTTTTTAAAAGTTCGAAAGAAATACTTACTTACTTTATGTTTTGATGTCATTTCTTATTTGTTCACCTCAGATAACAAAGAAGGGGTTTTAACTATCCTCTTTCTGTCTGTCTCTGCATCGTCATCAGGGCGGTCAGTCAGACAGCGGGATGGGCCTGTCGTCTGACAACATGGAGACTCTGAAGCGCCTCGAATCGCTGGCAGGCCGACCGCTGAGCATCATGGCTCTGGCGTACGTACCCTACACCACACAGCACCCCTTCAACATGCCCTGCAAGTGACAAATCAGCACACACAAGAAGACACTGCAAAGTACCTGCTTGGAAACCTCCCCGCTGTGCTGGAATGTAGACGCTATAACTGTCATACACTCACACAAACACAAGTTTCTTCTGCCTTAAAAAAAAGTCAGTGGTTAGTTTCTCTTTTGTCTGGAAAAGAAGCCATGTGGGAGGGATAGTGGCACAAAGGAGAAGTGGGAGGGAGAAAGCTTGAAGGTGACAAACTGAAGGACTGAGCACAAAAGCTGAGTGGAAGCATCACTTGAGGTTCGGCTGTTTTAAGAGCGCACACTAAAACCCCTTTGTTTTCACTAAAGGAGTCCTGAATGAGATACCTCCCAGTCTGATTTAACTTATTATGAGTCATGGCTGTTTGGTAAATGCAATGCTAGGTAACAAATGATCTCGGAGGAGTGACATTGGCTTTAAGTCTACACGCCAAAATCCAGCAGATCGTTTGATGACTTTAAGATGTGGATCCCGCCAGGGCAAGAGACAATGTGTTCTCTCTTTGTGGGCTATTTGAGGATAAAGTCAAATATCAGTCACATTTCTGTAAATCTTTTTTCTTATGAGGGTCTCTGTTGGTGTCGAGGATTACATATTAAGTTTACTGCAGCTCAGTGACATGGTTAATTTACAGGGTCAAACCTCTGAACTCAGTAATTACACTTTAAACATGTTGCTATTATTCTGCTGTCTCTACATATTGTGGCTTCCACTTAAAAGATTTAAAGGAGGAAATCTTGTATCCCAAATCTCTGTTCAGTTTAAGGTGATTGAGTGTAAACGCCATAAAAGTTCTGACACATTATTAAGAGGGAACATGTAAACAACTGCTGGGGAAGTAACTTCTGAGGCTATAAGACTCATTACAGGCCTGTTGTGGTCATCGGGGCCTCGGCGTGGCAGGAAGAATCAACCCGGGCATGCAGAGAATGATTCACATTTTGAAGGGAGGACTTCCTCGCTGGGCAACCGCTCAATCACTGCCACCTTTGAACTTCGGAGGGTTTACAAAGGCCTCCCCTGTTAGCTATAGCCCTGTGCTGCTTTTGTTAAGCTGAAGTCCACCTGTCGCTCCCTCGGCCTTCACCTCTAATCGAGCCTGACTTCTTTTAAACAGTAGCAGACAACACAACTTTTAATAGATTAAACAATATTTCCAAGGACGTTGCCTTAAACTTTTAATCAGCTAATTGTTTCTGGTTGTTGTTGTTGTTTCCTGTTGCTCAATTTCCAGTTTTGCCCCCACCTTGTGCCTGGTATTGGCAAGGCAATACTGTACTATTGTTAAGTCTTTTTGATGGCTAATTCATCAGGTAGTTATTCATCAGGCCAACATTCCACTGCCCCCGCTGGGCTCCGACCCTTTGGCCCCCAGAGAGGAGCTCTGGAAGCCCGTAGCAACCTCCAAAGACAATAAGCGGCAATTACTCATATTCTGAGGCTCAAATGAAGCAGAAAGACTCGGGATGATTGATTACATCATATGTGAATAGGGGAGGGTTGTCTGATAGTACAGCTTTACACAAGGGGAATTTCTTAAATCAAAGAATATCAAAACAGACCTCTATTGTGAGAGCGATCATGTTTAGTAGTCTTGGGAAAAAAACTTGATATTGTTCACAATAAGTTAAAGTGCACAGCTGGTTGTTTACCCATTGGCTGCACTAATTTCCACCCCGATTGTCTCGTTTTTTTAAAAGATAAAAAGCTACTTCAGCATAATTTAAAAGATGCTGTAGTAATATGTTTTAAATATATACATTGAAGGTTTTGTGAAGCACATACTGAGGACACAAGATTTAGGTCCTGTGTCATTTCTTGGTCAGCATGTAACTGATTTTTTGTCTGTTGTATTTGTCTCTGTATTTGTTTATTGTACAAGGCTGAGGATATGGCCATTTATTTTGTTGATTAACAGATTAATATTTTGTTAATACAGTGTTATAAATGGTGACTTTACCATAGCCTTAAAGTGACATCTTCAGCCCAGAGAATGTCCAATTTACAACCGTTCAAAAGAGAAAGGATTTAAATCCTCACGTTTGAGGAGCTGAAACCAAAGGATTTGGCATTTTTGCTTTAAAAAATACTTTTAAAATGATTATTTAATCATCAAAATAATTTCCGATCAATTTTCTGTAGATTATTTAATCAACTAATTGTTTTAACTCGAAAGTAAATGTTTTAAAATTGTGATTATAATAGATGGAGCAGTATTTTGTACTTTAAGATGCTTTACGTACAATAAACCCCCAAAAGCAGCAACAATGACATAGAAATAAAATGTAATATATAAGGTAAACAGGTACAATTAATCACATCAACAAACAGAGATAAGCACAGATCACAACTGACAAGTGGACAAGGAGTGATTCACATTAAAGCTGTGTTTTTAAAGGGATTTAATAGATGAAACTGATTTGGGTCGCCTGATTTCCTCAGACAGTTTAAGTACAGACTCCCTAATGAAGAAAGCACAGTCACCTTTAGTCTTGAGCCTGGCTCGTGGAACAACCAAAAGAGATTTGAGGATCAAAGGCTGCGTTTCGCCTCATAAAGAGTTAAAAGGTCAGCAGTAAAGATAGGAGCTGGGCCTTTCTGTGCTTTTAAAAACAAACAGTAAAATCTTAAAATATGGTAATATACGGTCTCTGTGTTTAGTTCCTGTTCGAATTCTAGTTGCACCATTTTGAACAAGCTGGAGACGTGAGATTGATTTCTGAATGAGGCAAGGTAGAGAGGAGCAGGTATAGAGGAAGTTGCAACAGTCCAAGCGAGATGACATAAAAAACCTGACCAGAAACATGACCTGCCATCTCTCAATCAGCACCAGATAAAGTGACTTGAATTCTGATTCATTTCTGAGCTGAAGGAAGCGGGACTGCACAACTCTCTTTACATATGAGTCTTATTATTGTTTCCCTGTTATATTTATGTTGCGTCTCTTTGTGTTTCCAGGATGAAGGCAGTGAGTAAGAGTAAAGAGTCTGTGCTGAGCGACACAGAGAAGGAGAAGTTCCCTCTCATTGTTCCCTCTCTGGACTTCAGTCTGGACGACTCGGCCCTGGACGCTGGTCTGGAGTGTCACAGCCCGCCGCCTGACTACAGCTATGTGGTGCGCTACTCCACCCCACCTGTGTAAGCTCCTGCTCCGGCCCTGGAGAGTCTGAACGACAGCCTGGAGGCCTTTGCTCTGTTTTGGACTCTTATCTCTCGACTGTAGCAAAGTTTGAAAGGAAAACACCATGAGATTCCCTCTTAAAGTGTTTAGACAGGACGCTCTGAAATGAATCTACCCGACTGTAACTTCCAACTTGCAGAGGGCGTCTGCTGAGCAGCAAAAGGAAACCTGTAGACTGTTGACTCCGTTCCAGTTTTCAGAAGCAGGCCGACGTTAACGCTGCTGGTCCGTTCCACATTCACTGTGATATGTCAAACAGCTGGAAACAGCCTCAGGTATTTCTGGCATACTGTGAAAACGAACCACAATGTGTCTCACGTTACTACAGATCTGATCAAACTACAGCCTTTAAATATGAAGAATAACACCCAGAACAGAAGAGAGAGAGAGGACCGCTCAGGCTTTTCAAGTTTATATTGAAACTTTTTTTGAATTGTTTGAATTGTATTCAAAAAGTGGAAAATTTTTAATTTGTAAAAAAAAAACTTAAAGAGAAAATATTTTTGTTATGGAGCTACATCCACATATTCAGATTTGCTCAAGGCAAAAAAGCAGATGGACAACAATGTGATATTGATTATTAATTATGGAAAAAGTCTCTTATTTGAGGTGTCATTGCTCCTTTAACTCCATAAAAATATCAGCTCAACTAACTCAGGTTGACCCAGAGGGACTCTGTCGTGTAGTGGTGGATGTTTTTTCAACTCTCTGGGTTTTGTAAAATCACAGCTTAATGGGGGTTAATGGAGGAAACCGGGTCGAGCTCAGAGTGAGATCAGGTGGCTTCAGATTTAACGTTACAGCTCGACCATGAAGGCATTCAAATGAAAGGTTACTGTAAATGTGGATTCCTCCTCCCGCCCCCATCTGGTGTCAAAGAAACTCAAACGCTGCGTTATTTGTGTTTGGTCAAACTGAAAAGAAAGTGAGAATAAAATCTGATTCTGTATGTGTATTTATTTAGATTGTGAACACTGTCACTTAGTAATCCAGTTTTGTTTTATTCATTTACATTCATAGTTAAAAGTTAACCAAAGGATTTTCCAGCTCAGTCTTCCTCATATCAACATGTAATATCCCGACACTTCACTCCAGACGTATATGCTGTTTGTGCTGCTGTATAGTAAAGCTGAGGGAAACGTGTCCTTTGTCTCGTGCTACGTGTTAGTAAAGCTTGCAGGGCAGGCTACCTGTGTGACGTGAGCACCAGTTGTACTACGTAACCTGTAAAATCAAGCATTTTGTTTCTAATACAGCATGTATCGAAAGTACTGAGGACCAATCTTAGCGTGCACGCCCTGTAGAAATGCAGCTAGCTGGTGCTTGTTGACCACGAAAGGAAGCAGTATTTGTCAGTGAGTAAACTGTAAACTATAAAGTGTATTTCCAAATCCAATTAATTGTGTTTATGTGGAGAGGAAGTGATTATGCACTGATACTTTATATCAAGTATAATTTTTGTATTCTAAAGGTGTATTATTGTGAAATGGTGTTGAGGGTCACATGTTACAAAGATTTCCAATTTATTTTTCATTTTTATTTAACTCTTAACTTTAGTGCCTAGTAGGAAATTAACATTTGCAATATCTGTCATATTATGTTCACTTGTTGACTGCTGTCACATAACATTCCAAGGATTTTATTGCATTTCTTCAAACATAACCATGATTAATAGAACCTCCTATATCTTTTTCTGTTAGTTTTGATGAAAGTATTGTTAACACTGAGCATATGAAGTAAATAAATGAATAAAGATCTATATATTTATACTTTACTTGCCGTCTCGACTCATAAGTGCTTGAAATACTTAATGCTCGTAGGTGTTAAGGTGACATTCATGACTCCCAGAGGATGATCCCTTGACTACCTTTCCTCTAGCGCCACCTTGAGGTTGACATTTATGGTCTCGGGTAAAAAGTCTTAACAACTATTCAATAGATTACCTTGCAATTTGTTGCAGACATCAATGGTCTTTGTGATTCCATGACTTTCCATTTATTGCCATACTCAGATCAAAATTTAAATGTGTCCAATACTTTATCTATGTTGCAGTGAGAATGACTCACAGAGCTGCCAGCGTGGCTGTAGATTCTTAGCTTTGTTACGATGTGACCATGTTTTTGTTTCATTTAATCAAAAATATGCTCAAAATTACTACAATTCAGTTAAAAACCTCATAGATCTGTCCACATTTATTTTGTGTTTTGATTACTTTTTCTGAAAAACAAACATTTGTTTTATGAGTGTTCTTTAATTAAGTGATTCAAATAATTTGAATAGTTTCTAGAGGCTTGAAGTAGTAAAATAATCCAGTAGCTCATATTTAATAAAAAAAATGAATAAAGTAAAGTGGGAAAATTAAAAAGAAGTTGTGTTGTAGAAACATTTTATCTATTTCCTGTAAATCATCTCCTCATCATTCATCCTGCCACCCTTAGAGGATCCCATCCCCACATGTTGGGATCCCTTAGACCCTTAGAGGATCCCATCCCCACATGTTGGGATCCCTTAGACCCTTAGAGGATCCCATCCCTGGCTCAAACAGATGTGAACAGAGGCTTCAGACTATTTTTAACTCCAACCAAGTTGATTCAATGCTCCTTGATTATTCTTAATGAAAAGGTCTGTTTAGATTGGATCGTGCCATCAGCCCCTCTGCTGCTCCTGGGACTGTGAGAGACTCACTTCCTCCTCCAGGACAAGGTGTCGGCAGCCTGTCTGCTCACCGGGACAATGCCTCTCCGAACAGGAAAGGAAGGAACCGTTAATCATCCTGCTCACGACCGGAGGACGCCACACACGGGGCTTCCTATGGGAAGCCCACTGCCCCTGGTTACCGGCACTGGGTGTGTCCGAGGAGACCACACGCCACAGGACAGGTTGGGCCCTTGACTGTCTCCGCTTGTCCTGACAGGATTTACTTTGTTTACTGTAAGGTGAGCGTCCAACATTACACCCAAACACATAACAACAACCTCCGACTATTCCCAGAATATGAGAAACAAACAAACAAGGGAAGGATGTCGGGGGGGGGGGGGGTATTCTTGACTGTCAGGTTTGTGTGTCTGCATCTACACACAGTGTTTTTCCAGACAGGCAGACGTATGAGGGTTGAACTCCTTTGGGCAGCTGAGTGAAAGCTGTTTATTTAACTACTAATTCAATAAAATCAAAGATTAAAATGAGTTTGATGTTATATTTAGTATTAATAATCTAGATACAAAAAGTGAACTATAGGGGAGTAAAAAGTGCAATATTTCCCTCTTAACTGCAGTGAGGTATAAAGTAGTATACAATTCAAACACTCAGGTAAATTGTCCATATGTGCAGCACTTGAGTTTTGTTCTAAGTTACCGTTCCAGTTTCCTCTTCATCAAAGATGACACGTGATGAAGAGGAAACCATAAAATCAAACATTGCAGTTTGTACATCACTTCTGCTTATATTTGCCCGTATTAATCAACTAATCTCTGCTGCTGTGCTTAGGTCAATATTATTATTATTGTTGTTGTTGTTGTTGTTATTAGTAGTAGCATTGGTATTGATAGCAGTAAGAAGAGATGAACTGTCTCAAACCCATGCAGGAAATACTTTAAAAAAAAGATTGTCACATGAGAAATAGAGGGATAAATAATAATCAAATATTGTAGACACAGATTTTTTGAAGCCGTTATACATTTTGCCATGAGAGTAGGCCAAAATAATGTGAACCTGTTGTCAGTGTAAAAAACAAGACACCTTGCGGGAAATAGACACCACTGAACAATAAAATCCCAATACGATGACAAATAACTCCTTGACTATTGTTCTGTGGTCAGAAGTATTACAAATAAAACATGTGGGAGCATAAATATGTCACCAGACATGGATATGAGTCAAGATAGTTACCGAAAAATATCAGGCATCGTGGTTCACCCACTGTGCAGTCTGCTTTCGTTCTCACTGTTGCATGATGCAGGAAAAAAAACTTCCCCCCTCCTTGAACTCCTCCACAACCTCCTCTCAAGATCTGCAAAACACTTTTTTCCATTGATCATTAAAAAAGAAGTGTTCATGAATTAACGTCGGATACTACATCAAAAAACATCCGGCAGAACCTGTGCAGCTTGAAATCCTATCATACACTGATTTGGGGCCATCGACCAAACAGTACAAAGCAGCTGAACAATGCTATTCCCAGACCCCTGCCCAAGGAGGTGAATGGTGGGTAGGCCACATCCGTGCCTCTCACCTAAATGCAAAACAATGAGCCGGATGCTGCCCCCTTAAGATACCTAACTTCACCTTTAACGAGAAAAGTCTGAGCCAACAACACAAACAGCTAAATAAAGACTCTTTATATCTCTATGTTGGGCTTTAGCACCACTGTGGTTCAAAGGGCGAAGAGGAAAAAACAAACACATCCCATCAGCAACAGTTTAATATGTTGTTAATATGTTGGGTGGTGTGAATGTGTCCCATCATGAATGTGCTGCATTGGAGGAAAAAAAGTGTGATTAAAATATATCAATTAAAAGATTAAACCTATATAATAAGGCAACAAATATAATCCACTGGCTGTTTTTTTTCTTCTTTTTTTGTACTCATCCACAGTGAGTAAAATATGAACATCCAGGTGGTTGACATGCATGCTGTGTAATGCGACATCCCGGGTTTGATTCCAACCGGAGGCCTTTGTTGCAAGTTGAACTTGTCCTTCTACCCATGTTTTCTGTCTGCACATACACTGTCACTATCAAATAATATACTGTTTAACATGTTGATCATCATAATTTAGCATGCTAACATTTGCTAATCAGCACCAAACACAAACTACAGCTGAGGATGATGGGAATGTCATTATTTTCGAAGGTATTTGATCTTAAACCAATGCACACTTTCAAATGACATGCCTGCATCGATCCATCCGAATCAATAGCTGTTGAGACATTTTACTGAAAACCACAAATGTCGACCTCATGGCGGCGCTATGGAGGAAAGGTCAGAAGATCACCTCCTGCTTACATGTGGTTCAGTGATAACATGAGCGGCACAGAACCAACGAATATCGGCCTTCTGATAGTTTCCGGAGAACTGCAACACAACTTTGTCAGCCCTGCACCCTCGGGAGTCTTCAGATTCATCAATGCCCATTCAAAGGCTAAAGTGCAGTGAAACCAGCTCACCCATTTGCCCCTTTGTTTACCTCTCTGGCAGGGGGGGGGGGGG